TTTAGCAGTTAAGCTAAACTATTGTTTGGTTTTAAGAAGACACCAGGGGATATTTTTGGTTCAAGGTTTAAAGATTATCTCAGAGCAACAGTTTTAGAGGTTTAGAGGTTCATCCAACCTTTGTGGCTGAAGGAAAGCAGGAGGATTTTAAATTCTTGTCTCCATTTTCCCCCTTTTGATCAGGATTCTTCTATGGCATCTTTGAACAAAATATTCAATAATGGTAGCAGGACACCATCCAATCCTTCTGGTCTCATGACAAAGGAAGCAGTTGTTCATGGAGGCAGTTACACACATATTCTATATCCTCTTCCTGTTTCTGACTCTTCTTCTTCTTCTGTTGTTCCAGGTGAAAAGACACCAACTGTCATGCCTTGGATGGCCACAGGAAAGCTTTTAAGACCCCAGGCACTATGCAATAGACTAAGAGGTAGAACAATGGACTAAGAGGTAGAATAGAATCACTAAACATGTTATTAGACCAATTAACTAGGATGTCTCATGAAACCCTGATTGGGTCCTTTGCATTTCCATATGAATTTTAGGGTCAGCTTGTCAATTTCTGCAATGAAGCCAGTTGGAATTTTCATGAGGATTGTTTTGATTCCATAGAGCACTTTAGAGAGTATACCCACTCTTCATTTATTGACATTATTAGGTTCCAATGATCAGGTCATTATGCAAAAATTGGCATTACGTGAAAATAGAGGACAGCATCAGATCACAAAATGGAGGATGATTACATTATTACATAACTACCAAATTACATTATTACTTAATGTCAAATTACATGATTACATAACTGCCAAACCACTGAGAATCATGACCCAGCCAAGTTGACACACAATCTTAACCATCACATCCAGTGTTATCCTTGCCTCACATCTCAGTGTTTGTTACTGCCAGAAGTAGGTCATCAATGCACAAAATTGACAATAGCAATTTCTACTATAGCAGAATATATAAATGTGAATGTCAGATAATGAGGTGAGTCAATAAGTGAGGAGTAGGCATATTACCATTTTCTTGGTCATCTAGTGCTGCTATAACAGAAATATCATAAGTGGATAGTTTTAACAAACAAATTTATTTTCTCACAGTTTAGGAAGTTAAAAGTATGAATTCAGCTCCTGCTTTTGGAGGAAGGCCTTTTCTTTCTGTAGGCTCTGGTTCCTGACTTTAGAATTCCAAGAGGCAAACAGTGTTCTTTCCTTTCTTTTTTCCCTCTGTCTGATGGGTTTTCTGCTATGATAGTTGGTTACATCCATCGGTCACAGGCTTAATTTCTTTAACAAAAGATTATGTAGCCATATCCTTGGTACAAAAGATTATGTAACCATATCCTTGGTGAACATTCTAGGACATAAATCCTTAGTGTGTAGAACAGAAGTTTCCAAATCTTTTAAGTTCTGCTTTCATTTTGTACAGTTCATATTTAAGTCCTCTTTCCTCTTGCATTTTAATAGAAGTGGTAAGGAGAAATCATGTAGCTCCTTTAAAGTCTTGCTTAGAAACCTCATCAGCCAGATATCTGAGTTCATCACTTACAAATTACACTTTCCACCACACATTTGAACATAATTCAGGCAGTTCTTTTGTGACTGCATAAAAAGCATTGCCCTTCCTCCACTGTCCAATCACATGTTCATCACTTTCTTTTAAAGCCGCACCGGAAGCACAGTTAACGTCCACATGTCTAGCAACATTCTGTTGCTCGCACCATATGTATTCTCTAAGTCAATAGAGACTTTCTCTCTATAGCTCGCCTCAGTTCCTTCTGAGCCCTCACCAGAATTGCCTTTGACATCCATAATTTTACCAAAAGCCACTTCAAGGCAAACTAGGCTTTTACTATTAGGTGCCTTAAAACTCTTCCAGTCTCAAGGGACTTACTACCACCAAGAAAGAAGAGCCAGGAATGGAGCATGTCCTTTGGACCCAGAGTCCCTGTGTTAGGAACTTCTAAGACCTGGTGTAAGACTGATGCCAAGACACATGGAGATCTCCAAGGGATGCCAAGCTCACAGATGTTGAAAGGAGACAAGCACCTTCCCCTGGAGCCAACAGAGAGAAAGCCTTCCCCTAGAGCTTTTGTTGTCATGTGCCGGGGAGTCGGACCTGACTCACAGCGACCCCTCCTTGGGTGTCCAAGGCGGTATCACTACGGAAGTAGATTGCCCAACCTTCCCTCTGAGGAGTGGCTGGTGGGTTTGAACCACTAGCCTTCTGGTTTGCAGTCAAGTGCCTTAGGCACTACGCTACCAGAGATCCTCCTCATAGTTTAGGAGGCTAGAAATTCGAACTCTGAGTGCCAGCTTGAGGGGAAGGCTTTCTCTGCCAACTCTGGAGGAAGGTCCTTGTCTCTTCTGAGTTTCTGCTTCTGGGTGATCTTCATGTGGCCTGGCATTTCTCTCCCCCAATTCTGCTTCTTTTGCTTGCATGTTTAATCTATTTTATATCAAAAAAGAGATTGATTTAAAACATGGCCTACACTAACCCTGCCTCATGAACACAACAAAGACAACTGATCCTCAAATGGGATTATAACCACAGGCATGGGGGTCAGGATTTACAACACATATTTTTGAGGAGCATAATTCAATCCATAACAGCAATCTTAACAACATTAAGTCATCTGATTCACAAACATGGCGATGTTTTTCCATTCATTTAGGTCTTCTTTAATTTCTTTCAGCAACGCTTTATAGTTTTCAGTGTATAAGATTTGCGATTCTTTTATAAAATTTATTCCTAAATATTTTATTATTTTTGATGTTATTGTAAATGAATTGTTTTCTTAATTTCATTTTCAAATTAGTCATTGCTAATATAGAGAAATACAATTGATTTTTATATACTGATACTGTATCATGCAACTTTGTTGAGTTTATTAGCTCTAATAGGTTTTTTTTTTTTTTTTTTTTTTTGCATATGTGTGCATTCCTTAGGATTTTTCATATACAACATGTCATCTGCAAATAGAAATAGTTGAACTTCTGTTTTCCAATCGGGATGTCTGTTTTTTCCTTTCCTTACCTAACTGACCTGGCTAGATTTTTCCCACATATTTTTGGTCTGGTTCTTCCAAGCCTCTCCCTTGAATCAAGACTTGACTGAGGGACAAAAATCACATGGTCATCTGGAAACAGTACAATGTTGAATAGAAGTGACAAGAGTGAACATCCTTGTCTTTTTTCCTAATTTTAAGAGAAAAACTTTTAGTCTTTCACCATGAAGTTTGATTTTAGCTGTGGGTCCTGTATCAACTTGAGGAAATTCTCTTCTGGTTCTAGTTTGTTTTTGTTATGAAAGTATGTTGGATTTTGCCAAATGCTTTTTTTTTTGGGGGGTACCTATAGAGATTACTGTTTTTCTCCCTCAGAAAGGACCAAACTAAAAATATGTGAGCTCCTCATAGGGAGAGCCAAAGATACCAGTCAGTTAATTTAGGTAATAAGCATCAGAGCCAGAGCTAAGGATTACAATTATAATATGCTCATGTATGCATTTCAGCACAATTTGAGAATTTTATAAGCTTATATTACTTTTTCTCTTCACCAAAACAAAATGTAAAACATTAAGTAAAAAGGATAGCATCCATTATTTAGCTTCTGTGATGTGGTCCACACTTTGCAGATGCTATTTTACAAGATCCCCACAACAGTCTGCTAGGTAGGTTGGGGCCTCATTTTATAGATAAAGAACTGAAGCTCCAAGATGGTTAGAAACTGGCCTGAGGGCTCCCAGCTTCCAAGGGGTGGAGCCAGTATTCAAGCCCACATTTTCTGACTGGGCTGTTAAGCCTTTTATCCACTGAATCTGAGCTAAGAAAATTATAACCAGTTCATACTTCTTAGCAAATGTTCTGTGTTATGCAAAATATACACTTCTCATTACAAACCTGTGAGGTCAGATGCCAGCAATGATGATAACAATAGCTTGCATTTATTGAGCGCTTTGGGAAGCACTTTACTCATTTATTCTGCATGCAACCCTATGAGGTAGGGATTATTACTGCCTTCCTTTTATAGGTAAGGAAAAAGGAAACTGGGGTTCAGAGAGGCTTGCTGATACTCCCACATCCTACCACTGGAAAGTAGAAATGCCAAGACTTAACCTTGTCTATCAGACCCAACAGCCACCTTCACACCACGCTGCACTCCCTCCCCACACAGGGTGAGGAGGCAGCATCCCATTGGTCAGCTGAGGGAATTGTTTTGAGCCCGTACTTGTCCTGCTCCCCACACACCTCTCCCCAGGCACTCACTGAGGGTGCAGCTTGTACAGGGTGCCATCCACGCCCACAGTGATCCTCAGTTGCTCAAGGCCCTGGTCTTGCCTCCTTTTCTCCACGATGGCTGCCAGGCCAGAGCCACAGAGCTGGGCTGCCCGCCGGGACACAGCTCCACACACCTCCTTCACCACAATGCTGTCCTCGCACGTGCTGTCCAGGCCAAGCTGCTGCAGGATCCCCCTGACCTGGAGGAGGGCCAGTCGGTCACTACAAAGGCCAGAACACAGTATCAGGACCTGTTTCCCAAACTCCTGGAGCCTGCTCAACTTGATGCCCGACCTCCCCACCCCTAGACGCCCTAGCAGAAGGGAGGAGAAAATGACCCTGCAATGGCTAAGGTGGAGCAGATGACTTAGACGCCACCACTCCCAGGAAGCCCCAACATACTTAAAAACTAAAGTGTGAGTACCTCATGTTTATATCTATTTAGGCGACATTACTAGATTCAACAAACAATACATCAGGTACCCATTCTTCCAAAGCAGAATCTGAGGTTCAGGGTGCTACAGACTTGTTCCCAAATAGTAGCAGAGCAGGATTCAAACACAGTCACTTCACACCAAGTCTCGCTCTCTCTTGCAGCTTTGGGCCCATTCTATTGAAGGTTATCTTTCCTTTTATTTCAATGTTTCTGATTCTCTCCTTTTTCTTCCCAACTACACTACACGTTCTTAGAGGGTAAGAAGGTATTGTCAGTAGTAGCCAGCATTGGGCAAGGCACATTCAATGAGCAAGCAGATATATAAATATACAGATTGCAATCACCACCTTACATAATAGGAGCTGTGTTGACTAGAAACACCTGCATCATCCATCACGGGGACAGACTGGTCTCGAGTCTCCTGTTCCTGCTATTGAGTAGGTGACACCAGGTACAACAGAATGAAACAGCAACACCACCCCCATGACAGTGCTGCGAATCGGCCTGTTGTGATCTGTAGGATTTTCGTGGCTGATTTTTGGAAGCTGATGGCCAAGCCGTTCTTCCTAGTCCATCTTAGTGTAGAATCGTCACTGACATCTGTTCAGCATCATAGCGACATGCAAGTCTCCGCTAATACACAGGTGGTGGCTGTACTTGCAGTGTATCAGCCAGGAACTGAACTTGGGTCTTCCACATGGATGGCAAATTCAACCACTGAACCACCACCGTGCCTTGGCCGTGCGTCTAGACTAGACCCTGATCATCTCAAAGTGAACAAGTGGTACTTAAACAGAACTCTGACTCCCAAGCTAAACAATGTGAATTTATATCTTTGATTATCTCTCACAATACTTAGGAAAGAAAAGTGTTACCAAGAGACAGCAACTGAGAAATAGCCTGTATGGCCATGTGGGGGGGTGGGGAAGCAGATAAATGGTAGCATAGGCAAGTAACAGATTTCTTCGTAGACATTAAAATAATGCCATGGAAAAGGTTCCTGACATACTAAGTTAAAAAAAAAAAAAAGTATAAAATGTTATGTGCCATATGATTTGTTTTCTTAAAATGTCTGTCCTTGCATAGAAAAACAGAGCAGAAAGAAATCTACTCAGATGTTTGTGACATTATAGGTGATTTTTATTTTCTTCCTTTTGCTCACCCGTATGTTTCAGACCGTCTAAATGTAATGAGTATAGCCTTTGTCTGCCTTTCTCTTTTTCTCTCTTATGATGTTAACAGTCACTGATGCTCATTGCCCAGATAAATTATTTCACTAAAAACTCACTGCCCCTGACTTGATTCCCACTCATGGTGACCTTACAGGACAGAGTAGAACTGCCCCCTGGGGTTTCCAAGGCTGTAAATCTTTACAGAAGCAGACTGCCTCATCTTTCTCCCACAGAGTGGCTGATGTGGGTTCAAACCACAAACTTTTTGGTTAGCAGTTAGATGCTTTAACCACAGAGCTCCTTATTTCACTTTAAAAAAAAAAAAAAATCTCACAGCCATTGAGTTGATTTCAACTCACAACAACCCCCATTGGGTTTCCAAGGCCATAAATATTCACAGAAGCAGACTGCCTCTTCTTCTGAGGAGCAGCTGGTGGGTTTGAGCCCTTGACCTTTTGGTTAGCAGCCAAATGCCTTAACCACTACACCATCAGAGTTCCTTCTTATTTCACTAGGGATTGCAAAATGGTGATAATCTATCATTCCTTCTGCATATTAGCTGGAAAACTTCTAGAAAAAGAAACTGTTGTGTGTATAAAAAATCCTTCAATAGGTTAATTGAGACACTGTGGTACATCCATAAGATAGAGTAATACAAAGTAATAAAAAGAAATGAGCTACCCAGCTAATAAAAGACATGGAGGAAACTCTGGTGAAGTAGTACCTAAGGCATTTGACTGCGGCTGGAGGTTCAAACCCACCAGCTACTCCTCAGAAGATTGGGCAATCTACTTCTGCAGAGATGCCACCTCGGAAACCCAAGGAGGGGTCGCTATGAGTCAGAATCAACTCAACAGCAGTGAGTTTGGTTTTTTTGGGAAGTGAAAGAAGCCAGTCTAAAAATGCTACATACTGCATAATTCCAACTATAGGACAGTCTGAGAAATGGAACTACAAAGATAGAAAAACGATCAGTGGTCATCAGGGGCTTGGGAGAGGGAGAGAGGAAGAGAGAGGAATGAATTGGCAGGGCACAGGGCAGTGAAACTATTTTGCACAATACAGCAATGGTGAATACACATTATGCATGATATGCAAACATTATATACAATGCAAAGAATGAACCCTAATGTAAACTATGGACTTTAGTAAACCACAATGTACCAATACTGGTTCATCAACTGTGACAAATGTACCATACTAATGCAAGATGCTAATAACAGAACTGTATGTAGGGGGCTGCAGGGATATATGGGAACTCTCTGTATTTTCTGTGTACTTTTTCTGTAAACCTAAACTGTTCCAAAAAAATAAAGTATATATTTTTTTAAGTTTATATACCAAGAAAACCTACAATTCCTTCCAGGGTCCAGCCTTTCACAGTTTACCTAGCTCTTTCATGTACACTCCCTTACTTGATCCCCAGAGCAATCCTGGAGGTTAAGCAGTAGAGTAATTGTTTCTCTTATAGAGGAGGATAGTGGGGTCCAGATTGGTGATGAGATCAGATTGGTGATGAGACCTGCCTCAGGTCACACAGCACAAACAGGTCAGCAAAAGAGATGAATCTCAAACTCAGGGCTCTTCTCCTAAGGATCACCCTCCCTTTCAACAACAAACTGTGAGATGGGCCAAGGTTCCCATATTACCATCTCCAACTGGCACTATTCTAGAGGATTTTTAAAAAGCTGTAGGAGTCAAAGCGTCCAAAATGGACACTTCTTGTACATCAGAAGCAAATGCTTTTGAAAGCAAATATTCAAGGAAGCAGATGGGTGCTACCTCCTTACACTTGTCCAGGAACAACTTTCTTTGTGTTCAGGCCAAGGAAAAGAAAAAGCAAGGCAAAGATAAGCCAACCTCCTTATCTGTGGCAGACGATGGAGAAACTGTTCCCCAAGCAAAAGAAGATCCAAAAGGTGATGACTTTTAACTTGTTCTTTGGTATCTGATGGGTTGAAGAGCAGACAGAGAAAGGATGCTGAACACCTGCTAATCAACACTTAAAAAACACAAAGGCATTGTTGCTGTTATCGATTCTACCACCATCTTCTTAGGCAGTGAGAACAGCTTATGGGAATCCCTTCACTAAGTACAGTGCTTTAGCTTTTGAAGTGATTTTTGTTTTTCCTTCTACACAGTGATTTTTGGCCTCCTGGCATCATCTGGCCATAAAGACTCAGAGAATTAAATGAATGACTGTAAATTGAGAGAATTTCCAAACAAAGCCTCTGGTAACATCCAGTGCTAGGAGGAAAAGCAGTTAAACTGACACACTTGTACATAACTATTGATAGCTGTCACTGGAACCATATATATATATATATGGGAGCTCTGGTAGCATAGTGCCTAAGACAATTGACTGCTCACCAGAAGGCTGGCGGTTTAAACCCACCAGCCACTCCTCGGAAGGAAGGTTGGGCAATCCTACTTCTGTAGTGATACTGCCTCGGAAACCCAAGGAGGGGTCGCTATGAGTCGGGGCCGACTCGACGGCAAACAACAACAACAAATATATATATATATATAAAATTGTGTGGCCAGAAGGAAATCTATGCCTTTTAAGCAAATGTTTCTTCTACTCCTCAGGAAATAATTCACAAGATGCAAATGACTTTGTGTACAAAAGTATTCATTATGGTTCTACTCAGAATAGCAGAAATCTGTAAATTATGAGTTAAACATCTTACAGTAAAGGAAAATTTAGTAAATTATAGCACAGCAACATAGTAACATTATCCAGCCATTTAAAATGATAATTAAGCTAAAGAGCTGATACAGGGAAGTTTCTTTTTCAAGAAGTATTCCAGTTAATAAATGCAGAAGGGATGATAGGATTAGGTTATCACCATTTTGCAAAACCCAGTGAAATAACAGGACAGGGCAAAGAGCACCAATGAGTGCTGATATCCTCACAGAGAGAGGCAGATGGATAGAACTTAATGCCACCTATAAAGTACTCTCGCCCCTAAATCAATCTCGAACCTAGTCAAGCATCTGGATCTCACAGGAGTTTGCAGAAAATACAAAGGACAGAGGAATGTCAAGCAACCTAATCAGTAAAATCCAGACTGTAGAAAATTTGTAGGATAAACAATAGTTTCTTTAGCAAATATACCCAAAGGGAAACAAGAGAGAGAGGGAAAACCAACAGATTAAAAGAGAACTAAGAGACATGTTAACAAAATGCAAAGTATGGATCTTGTTTAGATACTGATACATGCAAATGAATTATAAAACAAAAGAAAACACACACACACATTACTTTTAGGTAACTGGGGAAATAGGATCACTGTCAGGTTATTTGATGAGATCAAGGTTTTATCATTAACAATTCCACATGTGATCATGGTATTGTGGTTATGTTTTTAAAAGGATCCTTGTGTTTTAAAAATGCATTATGAAATATTTACAGATGAACTGATATAAAATGTGGGATCTGTTTCAAATTAATCCAGGCTGGGTATTAGTTTATATAATAAATTCACATAATAACTGAACTGAGTCTGTCTATGAGTTGATCATTATTGAAGCTGCTAGAGGTGACATGAGGGTTCACTGCGTTCATGTGACTATTTTCTCTACTTTTGCATATGCTTAAATTTTTTGATAATAAAAAATCAGGATTACAAATGAATGTAGATTGATAGATGTAATATGATTGCAACTAGGAAAAAAATGTATGCATTCATGGACTGAAAGGAAATATAGCACACAAAAATCAAAATAGATGTATTTGGTAGTGGGCGTATGATTGAATTTTTTTTTCCCAAGTTTTCTTTCATTTACAGATACATCATCACTCAGGAACAAAAGAAGATGGACAGCCTTAAGCTAACTCCTGTGTAAACAGCTTAGGTGCTTAGTGAGGACTGAGTCACTTCTGCTAAACACTCTGAGGTCCCAGGCAAGATGCAGTCCCTCAGCTGTGTATGGGGCTCGGGGCTGATCCCACTGCAGCTGGAGAAAGGGGACAGCTCAGGAGGCAGCGCTGTGCCCAGCCAGGGCCTTTCTGTTTTTATTTTTTATCTCTCAAATCTGTCTGACCCCAACATGAGTGAGGGCTGCCTATCCCAACCTGTGCCTCACCCCCAGAGCAGGTGAACTTGATCAAACATCACCTACCTTTCAATCTGGGACAAGAACTTGGTTTCAAAGATGCCCCTAGTCCGGAGACGCTCTGAAACCTGCCCGCGGAAGAGGAGACCCTGCTTGGTCAGGTCGATGAGGATCTGCCGCACTATCTCACCCAGGTACATTCCACTTGTCATTTTCTCATACCTGTTCGGGAGGAAGAATAAGGCTGCAGACGGCAGGAAAATCAGAGCTGATGAATAGCTGCTGAAAGGACCAGCAGAGGGTGGAAGGCAGCTGCCTGGTGCCAGGGGGCCTAACGAGGCTCCCTCAAGCAGCAAACCTGGAGAATCACAATGCAGAAGACAGCATGACAGAGGGGAGAAACCCAGGCTCTGGAGCCACACCGGCCAGGTCCCAGCTCTGCCTTACACTAGCTGTTTGACTTGGAGCCTACGCTGTAAACTATCAACTATAAAATAGGAAGCAAAACATTGACCCCACAAGACTGCTGAGAGGAAAGCATCCAGCACACAGTAAAGCCAAAAAGCCAAAATCACTGCCATCGAGCTAACTCAGACTAATAGAGACCCCATTTGGTTTCCAAGGCAGTAAATCTTTATGGAAGTAGATTGCCCCATCTTTCTTCTGCAGATCATCTGGTCGGTTTGAACTGCCAACCTTCTGGTTAGCAGCCAAATGCCTTAGGTACTGTGCCACCATAGCTCCTGGTGGCACTCAGTAGGCACTCATCAAAAATGGTCCCTCTCCCTAGTCACCCTTCATGCCTGGAATTGAACTCACTCCTTTGGCTTCCAGCCAAACAATAGACAGACATATAAGGGGAATGTTTGTACCAGGTAGGTACAGTCCTTAGAACAATGAATCAGAAGGGCAGCATTTGCACAGGGAGACAGCTCAGGGGGCAGGAATCCACAGGAAAGAAGGACACAGGGAAGAGGTAACTATAGGGAGGAAGTGGGAAGAGAGAAGTGGGGAACTGCAGTCAACGTCATGAAAGACAATGTGTATGAACTGCTGTATGGAAAATGAGTTTGCTCTGTGGACTTTCACCCAAATCACAATAAAAATTTAAATAATAAAAATAAAAAGATGGTCCCTCTCTTGGCTCATAACTCAATTCTCCTTGGCTTCGTTTTTGAAGACATATTATCTGTTGGAGGTTGTGTTCCATAAGAGAATATTTTAGAACTGTCTGCATGCACCAAGAGTGCTAAAAAAAGGTTAGTTCCCTTCCCCCTTTCTACTAGGCTGTGATATCCATGAGGGCAAGGAGCAAGGGGCAAAGGGAGTTTTGTAACTGAAAGCACTCTGCACAGGTATGTGTGACAGTTATGTCATCATTATTAATGACAGTGATCGTAAGTGTGCAGAGCTAGAACATGCTGCCCTCAGAGTCAAATGGAAATCTAATGTGTCCAAGACCCACGCACTGGACTCTAAAATGCCCAGAACCTCATCAGTCTAAAGGATCAACATTGAAAGAGACACATAATAGTGAAAGGCAAAGTCAAATTCACCTCTGTTTTCCAGGATTCAAGGAGCCCTCATCCACCTCCTTGTCGTATTGGGTCCGGATATCATCCATGCAGCCATTATCTCCAAATCCCCCCCACTCTGTGTTGATACACATCCTCCCTTCGTCCTCATCCACCAGCTCGATGTTCCTCATCTCCTCCATGTAGCATACATTGCTGCCTGTTCCTAGAAGGGAACACAAAGGGATTTTGGTCTTTAAGATACCACCAGGTTTTAGAGAGGCAGTAGAGAGCAGTGGGTAAGAAGTTTAGTCAGATTCAACTGGGTGTGAATTCCAGCTTAACACTCATAGCTGGATGATCATGGGCAAGTACCTCATCTTTCAGAAACCAATTTCTTCATCTGTAAAATGGAGATAACATCTGCCTTATAGGTTTGTTATGATGGAAAATGAGATAATATTTGTGAGTTCCCTCCACCTGGTAAATATTCAATAAATGGTCCTTGCTGCTATTATTTATTTTTGTTTTTGTTGTTATGCCATAGGCACACAGAGTGGGCTTCCAAGTAATTATTGAGTTAGCAAGCAGAGCTGGAAGGAACCATGAGGAATCATCTAGTCTGGGATCAGCAAATACTTGGCATGTATGAGCGACTCTCTTCTGTCTTGTCCATGACCTGGCCTCATAACCCTTCTCAACACACAGTCTAGGAGACTATTATATTCAAACAGGTATCACCTCTTTAACTTCCTAGATCTAGTCCAGCCCCTGCCACAGATGAGGAAACTCAAGTCCAGACAGAGTAAGTAATCTCCTTCAGGTCACACCCTGGGAGTAAAAGTTACAGTGAGATGGCATTGAAGACATCTCAATAAATCCTATCACCTTGTTCTACCCACTACTCATCTCCAGAAAACCCAGACAGCCAACTGGAACAATTTTCCTGATTTCTGTCATTACTTAACATGTTCATGTCACCTGGAATGTACTTTGTCTTCATCTTCTCCTATTCAAATCCCACTCCTCCCTCACCTCTCAGAGGAGTCAGTTACCTAGAATTCACCCTTGGCCTTAATCACCACCAGACTTCTCCCAAAGACCCTCAAATCCTTGTATCACTTCAGACTACTTTTCTCCTGTCTCCTGAGTTTCTTTTCAACTTTTCCCCTTCTTTGAACCCAGACATCTAGAAGAGTTCAGAGGAACAGAGGGGGTGCACGCTGGGGTCAAAGGGAAAATCTAGCTCATTCAGCCTCAGGCCAACATGCTCCAAGCTCTAGTGCTGCCTTCCAGTCAAATCCTAGCTATGACCTCCTTCCTCCCAGGACAATCTGTACTAAGGCTCTAATTTGAAAATCTACTTCTTCTATGTTATTTTCCTTGCTCAATAGAAAGAATGACCTTGGCTTAGGACTCTCAATGGAAAAAGACATTAAATAAAGACTTGGGAATTAGGGATCTGGAATCACAGTATCAACTTCTTATCTACCTTGGACAAAGCTGACTTCAAAGCCTCTGTATAATGGGACAATGGTTCCCTGCCCCTCATTAAAAGGGAACCTCTAAAGGATTGTATGGGATCAGGTCAGTGGGCCATGCCTGATCGCTTACCTGCAATTAGGCCAATCTCACAATTGGGATCTTCATAGGCACAGGTCATCATGGTCCCTACCGTGTCATTCACCACTGCAACTATATCCAGGTCAAACTCCTGCAAAGGAAACAGCTCCACTGTAGGTAGAATGTACAAGCCAAGTAGACTCAGGAGGAACATATCAATCCAAGGGAAACAGAGGTCAGAGTCACAGGGACTTGGCACAGGATGGCAGAGCAGAGAGCGCCAATGGTGGGGCATGACATCATAGTTGAAAGCCAGCACTCCTACCCATGATAAGTGGTTCTCTCCTTACCCCCAGAAGAACAGAGGTCACCAAATTCTCTGTCCAAAAATGTAAGCCCCTAGTGAACATGGGCACAACATTAAGTCAGAAGGAATTTATCCCTTGAAAAGAGATGTGATACTCAGATGCCCAAACTTGGGATTCAGAGCTCAGTTCCCATATCATACATTTCTCCTCTTGATGGCTTCTCTGAGCATGTCCACCACATCTTCCCCTTCACAGTCTGTGGCCTTGAAGCCTTTGGTCCACTCTATGAGTATTCCCTGAAAGAAGAGAAGGGAAATTCATTAGAACAATAGTTTGCTGGCACTACCGCCCAATCTCAACATCTAAGAGATATAATGTAGTATAGTTTCATGGGCTTCTGACTGCAATTCCTCCTGACTCTAATATCAGGAGAGAGATGTAGTTCCTGTGATGAGATAGAAAGCTTGCTCTCATCAGACAATATAAACCTCACAACTCCATTGACATTAACTGGACCCTCAAGTCGACTAGACTCATAGCGACCCCTCCTTGGGTTTCCGAGGCGGTATCTCTACAGAAGTAGATTGCTCAGTCTTCCCTCTGAGGAGTGGCTGGTGGGTTTGAATGGCCAGCCTTCTAGTTAGCAGTCAAATGCCTTAGGTACTACACCACCAGAGCTCCTTTTTTGGGTTTTACCCCCCAGCTACCCAGGAAGGCACAAGTAATACTAGTGTCCAGTGTTATAACTGGTCTTAACTGGTCAATTTACAGATTGTTAACTTCTTGCTATCTCTCCATAATATGCTTGACCAACCTTTTAATAGATTGCATGTATCTCTTTATTGTATACAACACTAAATTCTTCTGAGAGTTTCAGTCCAAAAAATAATAACGAAAAATGGAACATAATCGATTAAAAAAAAAGTCAAGTGGTTACAGTTCTCTATCATTTATTCCCGGCTGCCCTGAGCCTACTTAAGATCCCTAGATAAAATGAACAATGAGTCAGAGGGACCTTGAGATCCCCTGGTGGAGGGAGGATGCTACTGGGCTGGCTGCAAGCCTGGCTGGGCTGTCTTACCTTGTCAATACTTGTCTGTCTGCAGGGAAAGGAAAATGTGAAGCCCAAAGGTAGCTGGGCTCCCTTGAGGCCCATGTAGTCCAGGAAGTCAGCAATGCACTGCACAATGTGGTCAAACAGCTGCATGGAGAGAGTGAGGTGCATTCATACCTGGCTGGCATTTGTACTTGGTGGCAGGCTGGCACTCACAAAACACAGAAAGCCCCACCCCTACCGCCCGACAGTTACCTCTTCGCCTGTGCCCTGCATGATCTCCAGGGGGATGGCAAAGATCTTGTTGTACATCCGCACTGACTTTCGCCCTCTTCTGATCTTCACCAGGAGGACCCGGAAGTTGGTTCCACCCAGGTCCAGGGCAAGGAACTTCCCTTTCTCTGTGGTGGATAAAGTCAGGGCTGCATCCCACCAGCATGCACTGTGCAGGAGGCATTAGGAGAAAAGAAATACTGAAAAGGAGCTAAGCAGAGCCTGTCTTCTTTTGACTTATGGACCAGAGGGGCATGACAGTCACTGTTCACAGTGTCAAGGCACTGGGCAGGCACCTGAGCTTGTCTGAGGCCAGACCGTTTCTTAGCATCCTCTTGTCCTGCAGCAAAGGACTAGGCACCACTTATACTACCCCAGTGAGGACCGTCGTGAAAGAGCCCTGGACTGCAATCAGGGGACTTGGGGGTTCTGAGAAAGGAGTTTTTTTATCTTGAGCAAGAGAGTCTAGGTCCCACTTTCTATATCTGTAAAGTAAGGAATGAGTTCCTGTATGATGCAAACAGTTAATGCACTCAGCTGCTCACTGAAAGGGTAGATGTTCAAATTCACCCAGATGCACCTTGGAAGAGAGGCCTGGCAATCTACTTCCCAAAACTGAGCCACTGAAAACCCTGTGGTGCACAGTTCTACTCTGACACACATGGGGTCACCATCAGTTGGAATCAACTCTATGGCAACCTTTTTTTTTAGACCTTCTGAAGGCTCTTCCAGCTCTAAAACCCATTCACTGACATCTTTCTAGGCAGCCCCAAGTAACCATGCTGGGGTGTGGGGCATAAAATTGTGTTCTGGACATAGGGTATTTGGTAATGGACATATGTGACACTTGTACCCTACTCCAGTTGGTACAGCCAAAGGGAATTGTTCATCACAAGCAAACTGATTCTTGTCCCCATTCTCCCCTCAGCCAGATTCCCACCCCCATCTATCTAATGAGAAACATATCAAGTCCTACCTTCTCAACAATATTGTGCAGGGCCACCCAAGGGCAGTGGCCTCTCACTTCCCTGATTTTTCACAGCACCATCGCCTACTCTATAGAGCTTTCTCACTCATTCTGTTCTAGCCACACTGGTCTTTTTTGTGTTCCTTGAATTTGCCAAAGACGTCACTCCCAAATCTCTCTCTAAACCTTACCCTACTCTGTTTTTCTTGACAGTACCTGTCATTAGCTGATATCATACAACATTTATTTGCTTATTGTTGGTCGGCTCAACAGACTGTGAGCTCCACAAGGGCAGGACTGTGTTTTCTTTGCTGTTGTATCACCAGTTCCTATAATAGAGCCTGACACACAATAGATGCTTAATGAAACTATGAGGGATGGAGAATATAGGATTCAAGGGATGGAAGAATGAATAATTGAACAGCATCTTTTGCTGTGCTCAGCCTTTTCCCCATGTAGACACAAAAGGCATGGGCTCTGGAAAAGATCTTGGAGATCTTTGCTGTTAAGAGATCCTGAAGTTCAGCTGCATGACCATGAGAAGGTCATCTAACTTCATGGGGTCTCTGGTTTGGCATCCATAAATGGGAACCATTCTCTCCTTATCTAATACATAGTTGTGAGGACCAAATGAGATTAAAGGTTCAAAAGCAAATTATAAAATGTAAAGGATTTTACAAAGGTCATTATTTCTGGATGAGGTTTGTAAGTGTCAAAGAGGGGAAATAATTTGTCCAAAGAACTGACTCCATTAGTTAGTGGCTTCTCTCAGCTGAGCACAGAGAACCAGGAGAAGGATCAAGGTTGGAAAAGTCAGGGGCAGAAAGTGATGAGAGGGGAGAGGGAGAATCAAGTACCAGAAGAAAGCAGAATCAGAGACGTCAGGCAAGAAGCCGATGCAAATCCATGTGTCCAGTTGGAAGCTTCCCAGGGTCAGGATGTGGGTTTTCTGTCTGCGACAGCATCAAGTGCATCCCATGTGCTCAACTACATAGACACACTCACACACATAGATACCATACACACATACATACATACATACATGCATACATTCACATACATATATAATATGCATACTCATACATACACACACACACACTTGGAACCTAATTTAAATATTCTTTCACTGCAAATACCTTGGTTTAACCAAGGCAAACAAGTTCAGAAGGAGTAGTGGTACCCTACCCTGCTCATCCCCCCAACTCATGACAAACATGAATCTAAGACCCTAACTGGCTGTAAGAAGCTTTAAGGAAGTTCTGGGGGAACCCTGAAGAGAAGGGGCTGGCCTGGCCCACCTGTGCCATCTGGCATCCCATAGACATAAGTGGGTAGCATCTTGACCGTGGCCATCGGGTGGGTCTTCCTCTTCAGCCCATACTCGAGCTCAACCCTCATTTTTTCCTGCATGTCCACAAGGTGCTCGTGGGTTAGCCGGAACAAAGCCAGCACCTCATCAATCCGCTTCCGCTGAGCCTGTACACGGGAGGCCACTGCAGTCACCATGGCAGCCCCCTTGGCGCTGCCACACTCAGACAGGAGGAAGCGGACATCACAGTTTGGGACTAGTTTCCTCACCACCTTGTGCAGGCGTTTCGGGTACCTGAAGACAGGGGTGATGGCCAAAATATTTAACAGTCAGAAGGGCCCGGCCTGGCCAATCAAAACGGGGGTAGCTGTGGAACAGAGCTCTGGAGAGCCCTGCTGGGCAGGCTTATCCCTTCCATTACTGGAAGGTAGGGATAGCAGATGGGGTGGGGGATTAAGGAGAGGGCCTACAGCTGAGGCAGTAGAAAGGCACTTGGGAGTCTCAGAGGAGTGGCTATTTTATAAATTAATATTCCAACCAATAGGGCATGTCCACACATAATGTATTGGCTGAATAACATCATCTCTGTCTAAAGGAAGAGAGATTTTCTTTCTCCAGCTCCTTCCAGGGTGTACCCACTGACTTTCAATACCATCTCTGTTAGCCAGAAACTTTTGCTCTCCTCCCTTCTGGGAAATTCTCATTTTTCTGCATTTTCATACTAAGATCCTTCATGTCAACTTGGCAACCTCTGTCATCGCTATTCTTTCCATCTGTAATTGCATGTGTTTTCTTTTCCAATCCTACTACATAAGTAGGTATTCAGTAAATGGGTAGGTAGGTGAATGGATGAATAAATAGACAGATAGATGAATGGATGGGCATATGGGCAGATGGCCTTAGGCAGTTGGCTTTAGCATGTTCTCTAAGAAAGATCTGCAAAAGCCACCCAGTCAGTTATAGGACTGTAGTCTCTGGACTTCTTGTTTCCCTTATAACCTCAGCACCAGCAGGCATGGCTGGTCCCAGCAGCCCAGGTGAGCAGTATAGCCCGGAGAGAAAAGCTGGGGCTGTTCCACAGGGAAGCTCATTGCAGAGGGTGGGTTGCCCGGCAGCACTTACTGGGGGTGTATCTTGTAGAGGGTACCGTCCATACCCACTGTGGTCCGGAGCCGCACTAGCTTTTTATTCTCCCGGAGGCGTGTCAGGATGGCCGCCAAGGCTGCAGCACAGAGATTGGCTGAGCGGAAGGAGACGATGGTGCAGACATGCTGGACCGCAATGCAGTCAGCCTCTGACGGCTCCAGGCCCAGGTCTGTAAGGATCTCTCTGGTGTTGGCAAGGCCTTCTTTATACCTAGCCAGGGGAGAGGAATGAGACGATCACACGTGTCCATCTCCTAAGGAGACATTCGCCTCTGAGGATTATGAAAATAAACAGGCTGGCACCGAAGAATAAATAATAATGTCAATAATGATAATAGCAGCCAACATTTATTGAGCACTCTGTGACAGGTACTTGTCTAAGGACTTGACACACATCAACTCATTTAATCCCCCACAACAATCCAAAGGGATATGCTGTCATTACTGTGCAGGTGAGAGACCTGAGACACACAGAGGTTAAGTAACTTGTCAGTGGTCACAGTGCTAGTAAGAGCTACAGCCAGGAGTTGAACTCAGGCAGTCAGATAAAGAGCACACACTTAACCACCTTGAACCATACTGCCTTTCACAGGAACTCCAACTCTACCAAGCACTGCACAGAATGAACTCTGAGGGTCAGGTGCCACTCTGCTGAGCTCAGAATCTAAACCAATTGCTAAACTCAGTGCAATGTCAGCGTTTCTAAACCCGAGTAGGCAGGACCCTGAGCTGGCTAGGGCCAGCTACCTCCACCAGCCAACTTTCATTCCAGGGAGCTGTGTGAAAAACTCAAATCACCAAAGTCAGAGCCAGCACCTGAAGGGACCAGGTGATGAAAGTTCTTGTTACAGCAGGAGTTCTTAATTTGGACTCCATACATGGACTTTAAAGCGCCATGATATTGTTAGCCAAATCATCTGTGAACATCAATTTTGGGAGGAAAAGGGTCCTGAACTCAAACTAGATTCTAAAAGAGGTCTCTGACTCTCAAAAAATTACAAGTCATGACTTTAGGGAGGAAGAAAACAGAAAAACATGGGGACAGAGTAGACATCCAATAGCAGAATCCCTGCCTGGGAAACCAACAAGAAAGCCACACCTAAGCCATGGAAGAAAGTGTTAACCCATCTGAACCCATTCCCAGGTCTGAAATCCTCCTGGTAAAGAAGGAAGATATGGTCTCTAGTGCTGTCCCACGTCCACTGAGTGGACCACGCCTTGGCTACCCACCCTAGCCCTCCACACAATCAAGGCAAGTGGGAACCAGCCCGCAGCTTACTTCTCCATGGCAGCCACATGTCGTGTCTCAATCTTGCCCTTAGTATGGAGAGCAGAGGATTTCTTGCTGCCAAACAGGAGGCCAGCCCTGGCCATCTTCAGCAAGATGAGCCTGACGAGCTCCCCCAGGTACAGGCCGCTGATCATCTTCTCAAATCTGCAATTCGGTGAAGAGATCAGTGGAAGCAACAACTTGGGTTCTGCAGCATTTTTTTCCCCAAAGACCACAAGTCACGGCTCACCATCTGCAGCATGTGGTGGAAGAGCTACTCAATGATGTGACCTAGGGAAGCCACTTATCCTCTCTTGGCTTCACTCTCCTCATCTACGAAAGCAAAGAGCTAAGCTACAGTAGATCCAAGATTCTTTCCTGCTCACAATATGCTTCCTTCCAAGGATATTTATGTAAAATAACTGCTGGCTATGGACGTATCATTCTCATGTTAAGGGTAATAGCAGCTATTGAATCGATTTTGACTCATGGCGACCCCATGTGTGTAAGAGCAGAATTGTCCTCCGTAGGGTTTTCAAGGTTGATTTTTCCAAAGTAGGTCACCAGGACTTTCTTCCCAGGAGTCTTTGGGTGGATCGAACCTCCAACCTTTCTGTTAGCAGCCGAGTGTGTTAACTGTTTGCGCCACCCAGGAACTCCCATGTTAGGGATAAGGAACCTCAATTTCAGAGACTTCAGTTACTTTCCCAAGGTCACCTAACCATGGCATGAAAGGTTCAATATCAGATTGCACTTCTATGAAATAAGCAAATACACAGAAATCAAAGATTATTAGTGGTTACCATGGGTGACAGGGAGTAGGAAAAGGAGAATTTTCACTTGGGGGGGGGCATTGAGTTTATGTTAATAGTGGCAGGATCATTTGGGAAAGGATAGTGAGAATGGTGGCGCAACTTGAAGAATTTGATCAATGCATTAAATTGTACACGTAGAAATTGTTGAATTGACATATTTTGTTATATATATTTTCCCCACAACAAAAATATATACTACTTTAAAAAATTCTAATTATGCATGGAAACAATTAGTCTAAGGGATTAGTAGACCATGAGATCCTCAGCCTGATCATGAGACCAGAAGAACCAGATGGTGCTTGGCTACCACTGTCAACCACTCAAAAAGGGATCAGTGCAGGAGATCCTGGATAGAGTGGGAGAACGATGTGTAACAAAACTCAAAATCAATTAGAAAAAAAAAAAAAAAGACCAGATTTGCTGGACTGACAGAGCCTGGGGAGACCTATGGCTCCTAGTTACCCTTCAGGTCTGGACTTGAACTCACTCCCTGGCTTCCAGCCAAACAATACACAGGCATACAGGGTGAACATTTACATTGGGTAGATATGCTCCTTGGAGCGATCAATCATAAGAGAATAGAAGAGCAGTATTTGCACAAGGAGATAGCTCGGGGTGGGGGGGGAGCAGAAATGCATAGGAAAGGACACAGGGAAGAAGTAACTATGGGGATGGAGTAGGAAGAAAGCTGTTCCATTGCGGGGAATTTCAGTCCATGTCATGAAACAAGATGTGTATGAACTGCTATATGGAAAATGAATTTTCTCTATAAACTTTCATCCAAATCACAATTAAAAAAAAAAAAAACAACTTTTTTTTTTAAGTCTAATGATTAGACTCATATGCTTCCAATTCATACATTAAGTTTCTCTCCAGGAGAGAAAGATGCTATGTTTGTGAGGTAGGCTTGGATAGCTCCAGAGAATCTCCACTATACTGTAGATAAGATGTCCCACAAGACTATCTACACCTTTACTCTGGGTCAGTGCACACCAACACACAATTACTATTCCTCAGGTACAAAACTAAATACAAGTTTTATTCTCCAAACCTAGTATGACAGAAAATCAAGGAAAATCTGTTACATATTCAACTTTATATTTTTCACTACAAAAAAAGAAAAAGAAGCCTCAGAACATTAAGGAAACAAAAGAAATTCAGGCTGGGTTTGGAGGAATGGAATTCTTTTGAAGTGAACTAGAGATGGGTGAGGATGATAAAGTCCAAAATATGGTACCACATTGTTGGGCTATGACTCTGGCTCACCAGGAAAGTGGGTGTGTGTTCTGGTTACCTAGAACTGCTCTGACAGGAATATACCACAAATGGGATGGCCTTAACAAGCAGGAGTTTATCCTCTTACAGTTTGGAGGCTTTAAGTCCAAGTTCAAAGTGCCAGGCTCTAGGGGCTGGGTGTAAGCCCCTCAACCTTGGGGTCCAGCTCTGCCTCCTGCTCCCGGCCCACTGGAGCTAGAGCCGTTTCTTTACTCAGACAGCTGCTAGCTGCTGAGGCTGAGAAACCCAAGGTTGACAAATAAAAAGGCACAGTCCCGATGTTACCAAACCACACATCAGGCCATTAATTTAAGTCCATTGTAAGTCTCAAGGTCGGCAGAGCAGCCTGTTGAACAACGACATGGCTACATGCAGGGTCCAAACATGCCATAAGCTAGAGACCATTCTCCAAGGCTTCCCTAAGGCAGCTACTCAGCTGCTCACAGTAGATTCCACCATGGAGTCGATTACCAGTCTCATCATGGGGAATACCACATCCAGCCACCCAGGCATTCAACCAGCCCCAGCCAAGTTGACACACAAACTGAACTACTACAGTGTGTAGAGGAAAATGGCTCCATCCAAGAGAGACATTTGCTTTATAGGCCTGCAATTCTGGTGCTTATATAGCGTTTAAACCAAAAACCAAACCCACTGCTATCAAGGCTATTCTGACTCACATCAACCCTATAAGACAGAGTAGAACTGCTCCATATGGTTTCCAACACTGTAGATCTTTATGGAAGCACACTGCCTCATCTTTCTCCCATGGAGCAGCTGGTAGGTTTGAACTGCTGACCTTTTGGTTAGCAGCCAAATGCCTTAACCACTGCACTGCTAGAGCTCCTGAATAGTGTCTAAAAAAAAAAAAAAAAAAACCTATTGCCACTGAGTTGATTCTGACTTATAGTGACCCCGCATTGAGTTTCCAAGGCTGTAAATCTTTATAGAAGTAGATTGTTTCATCTTCCTCCTGTGGAGCAGCTGATGGGTTTGAACCTCCAACCTTCTGGTTAGCAGCCAAATGCTTTACCCACTACACCACCAGAGCTTCAGAATAGTGTCTGGGAGGTGCTTAAAATATTTACTCACTAGGATTCCTTGGTGAAATGGTTGGTTCTAGGACTTGGGCTGGGAAAGTATAAGATGAGCTGGGACATCTTACTGTGCCCCTAAATAAGGAAGTACTTAAACAATGATAGGAACATGTCAAAGGTAGCAGGAACCAGCCTGAAGAGTCCTCCACTGGCCAAATGTGAAACCATTTGAGCATCAAAATAAATAATGATAGGAAAAGATTATAATGAATTAAAAAGAAGAATCCATGAGCCCATGTACAAATAAATGCAGGAGATGAGAAAGTTCTTTCTTATAGAATAATAATTCGTACATACAAAAGGAATATGGATTTAGTAATTCATTAATGGATGCTAAAACGAGTGAGTGAAAGTTTGATGAGGAACAGCATATTTACATGGTCTCAGAATATCTCCTCACCACACATTTATTAATTATAAAGGGAATAATAATAACTTTATGATGCTAAAACCTGCTGGATATCCCTTAACCAAGTAATTCCAATTAACATCCCCAGTGATAGGATCAACAGATTATGTGCCTCCTGACACAATTCTCTAACAAGGACATAACATCACTTCTGGTATTCCTGCCAAAAATGCATTATGTGAATCTAATCAAGGTAAAAGAGGAGACAAATCCAAATGGACAGACACTGTGTAAAATAAATGGTCTGTGTTCTTCAAGGTCATGATAAACAAAGAAATGCTAAGGAACCGTTCCAGAATAAAGGGGGCCAAAGAGACATGGCAGCAAAATGCAACATGCAATCCTGGATTGGAGCCTGGACCAGGAAACTGTTTTTTCATAAAGAAGTGGGGCAACTGGTGAATTTTGAAGAAAATCTGCAAATTAGATATTAGAACTGATTAAGTGTTAATTTTTTAATTTTCATCATTCTGCTGTGGTTCTGTAAGAGAATGTGCTTATTTTTAAGAAATACACACTTAGAGGTAAAAGAGTCTTTTGTGTATTTTATATGAGTGAGTCCCTCAGTGGCCCAAATGTTAAGTGACCACTTGCCAAGAGGCTGATGGTTTGAACACAGCCAGAGGCGTCTCAGAAGACAGACCTGACAATCTGCTTGTGAAGGTCCAGCCTTGAGAACCCTGGCTCTGCATACACGGTGTCACCACGAGTCAGGAGTGACTCAACAGCAACTAGCAACAACACATACACACGTGTACACATATACACGGAGAGAAGAGGAAGTCTTAATAATTGGGAAATCTAGGGGAAGGGGTGTATGGGGAATTTTGTAGTATTTTTACAACTTTTTTGTTAAGTCTGAAATTATTGCAAAATTAAAAAAAAATTATTTTATTTAACATGTAATTAACTGTTATAATGTGTAAGATACTGTGTAGAAATGAAAGAAAAATTAAATGCATAGCCTGTCCTCAGAAGCTCAGAGTGTAGAAAAAGAGCTCAGACAGATGCCTGAGTAATTATACTATAGGTGGGTCTGGGATGAGAGCTCAGGCAGGTTCTGAGACCTGAAGCTGGGAAGGACCAGGCCAGCAAATGGGGAAGGAAGGCCCTTCCAGACCCACCAGGTGCCTTGTGATTCAGCCCCTGAGAAAGCAGGTGGCAGGGAGTAAAGGAAACCCAAAGCATGAGGCATTCAGCTGAGTCCTTCAGCCTCCCCCTGGTCAGATCTGAGACATCTTGTCTGAACACTCTAAGACGCCAGGGCCCATAGCACCTCCTGCACAGCTGTATGTCCAGTGCTTCATAAATATTGATGGAATTAGAATGAGTGTTATGATCTAGGAGAAATGACTCAATTTCCTTTCATTTTCTTATCTGTCAAATAAAACTAAAATATAAGTCTTGCATTATAAAGTCATTGTGATGGATGACTACCAAAAAAACCAAACCCACTGCCACCAAGTCGATTCCAACTCATAGGACCCCCATTGGGTTTCCAGGGCTGTAAATCTTTACAAAACTGGATTGCCTCATCTTCCTCCCACAAAGCAGGTGATGGGTTTGAACCACTCGCTGACCTTCTGGTTAGCAGATAAATGCCTTACCCACTGCACCACCAGAGCTCCTGAACTTGTTGTTGTTGTTGTTGTTATGTGCCGTCGAGTCGGCCCCGACTCATAGCGACCCCTCCTTGGGTTTCCGAGGCAGTATCACTACGGAAGTAGGATTGCCCAACCTTCCTTCCGAGGAGTGGCTGGTGGGTTTGAACCGCCAGCTGTCTGGTTAGCAGGCAAGTGTCTTAGCCACTATGCTATACAACCTTAAAACCCACTGCACCACCAGAGCTCCTGAACTAGTCACAACCAAAAAGCCTCCTTGGTGAGGTAGTGATGTACCTGAATGATGGGGTATTTCCCAATAGCAATGCCCAGATTATAATATGTCAGTACTTACAGTTGCTTCCCTGGGTTGAGAGAACCGAGGTCCAGCTCCCTGTCAAACTCCGTGCGGATGTCTTCCAAAGCGCCATCATCCCCAAAGGCCCCCCACTCCGTGTTAATGCACATCCTTCCCTCGTCGCCTTCCACTAGGTCAATGTTGCTCATGTCCTCCATATAACATGCATTGGTGCCAGTTCCTGAAGAAGGGATCAGAAAGAATACGCAAAGAGGGAAGACAAAGAGACCTCAACTGTCCTTGAGTCCTCCTGAAAGTACTACAGAGTGCTTTTGGTCCACTCCAGGGGGCTGGCTCTTGCTTAGGGAACCAGCTTTGGCATGCCTGGAGTCTGTGACAGAGTAAGTCTGATAGTCTGATTTATGTTAATGGCTTGCTTTTCTGAGTGGAGCCAATTGTGAAGAAGTCCCTGATGAATACGCATAAAAACTGACCTGGGCTTTGAACTGAAATGGACCCAAAGCCAAAACCAAAACAACGTGAAATTTTCACTAGAGTGAAACAGAAAATTGAATAGGAAAAAAAAAAAAAAAAATGCTTTTCTGAACCTAAACCGAAATAGAAAATCATTATCTTATTTACTCTGCTATTTTCAGATCGATGATAATTTTTTTAAGTTGTAAGCAAGACCATTGGACCATTTGGTTTGCATCTGGCACCCGTGTATGCTGAATGCTTCTCTGGCACATGACTGGTAAGGGCACAGTTCACAGCTTCAACAAGGGACACAAACTATGGGTGATGACTGCTATTATACGAGACAATTCACAGGCCAGTCAGTGTTTGCTATCTCCACTCTGTACTTGACTTCTCTTACAGTAATGTGAACTGTGCCTACCAAAAATGTGAGAAACACTCGACGAATGAGAACACTTGTAGTCAGAAATCTGAAAAAGTTGGTTAAACCTCATCAAGTTCTGAACAGAGTTTCATGTGAAAGGAAATTTGTTAGGTGAGTGTAAACATTTTAAATGTACATTCTTCAACTTAAAGATATCTAAATTCAAGAAAGAAAATAGCACATAATTTTCTGATGATTCCATTCTTATATTCAATCTTGATTTAAATGTACTATCACACATTGTACTTATATGTTTAAAATTTATATTTAACTCACAAATCAAAATGTTATCAAACATCAGCAACTCCCACCCCACCAAAAACCCACTGTCATCGAGTTGATTCCAACTCACAGGGACCTACGGGACAGAGCAGAACTGCCCCAGAGGGTTTCCAAGGCTGTAAATCTTTATGGAAGCAGACTGCCTCATCTTTGTTCCACAGAATGCTGGTGGGTTCAAACTGCTGACCTTCTGGTTAGCAGCTAAATGCTTTAATCATGGTGCCACCAGAGCTCCTCATTAGCAATTAGCAGGAAGAAAACTAATGTTTCAATTGCAATATACCATTATTTCTCTGAAGATAGCTTGATAGCATCACTATGAAGTGAGATTTTTTTCTTCAAAAGGTGCTGCATAAATGTATGAGAATGTTGTAAAGTAGGGCTTCAGATGGAAGAAATCGGCAATCACTGTGAATGTAAAATCAAAGTTACTCCAGTTTTTCTAATATACTGGTGATACATACATACTAAGTGCTGGCTCTAATTCAGGAAGCCCTGGTGGTACAATGGTTAAGCCAGATGCCAACCAAAAGTTTTGCAGTTCAAACCCGCCAGCCACTCCTTAGGAGAAAGATATGGTAATTTGTTTTCATAAAGATTACAGCCTGGGAAACTCTATGGGGCAGTTCTACTCTACCTTATAGGTCACTATGAGTTGGAATTAACTCGATGGCAATGGATGCTGGCTCTAATTAATTTCTACAAGTGTATTTATGCAATCTATTCTCTTTATGTTATCACAGTCTTGTTTTTAAAAAAGACTTGTTTTATATAAAGACCTGTTTTTACCATAATGTAATATCCAAACCCAAACCCATTGCCATTGAGTCAAATTCGACTCATAGGAACCCCTATTGGATTTCCAAGACAGTAAATCTTTAGGAAGTAGATGGCCTCATCTTCCTTCCATGGAGCAGCTGGTGGGCTTGAACCACCAACGTTCTAGTTAGCAGTCAAATACCTTAGGCAATGCGCCACTAGAGCTTCTTGTAATGTAATATAGTGACTATAAAATATGCTCTAATGTAAATATCATTTCTTATCCATTGAATGGGACAAACCAGAGTCAATCTATATTGAGAATTTTTCAAGTATGAAAACATTAATAATAAAAGCACATGTAAAATTTGTGTTGCATCGCAGAGTGTGGTAAAAGTGACAAGATTTATAAGAAAAGAGTAAAACGTAGTGCACACGTCCATTAGATATTAAAGACACGATAAAGAATGTTGAACTGGAAGAATTTTTAGGATGTTGTGAACTCCTTTGAATACTTTGTATTCCAACATTGTTTCCCAAATTTTCGGAAAATGCTTCAAGGAAACCTGTACTGGATTACCCCACAAGATGGAACAGTATAGAGACCAGGATAGAAACCACATTGTTGTGATTGTTAGGGGTCATGGAGTTGGTTCCAACTCATAGCGACCCTATGCACAAAGAATGAAACACTGCCTGGTCCTGTACCAGCCGCACAATCATTGCCATGCTTGGACCCATCGTCGTAGCCACTGTGTCAATCCATCTCACTGAGCGTCTTCCTCTTTTGTGCTGACCCTCTACTTACCAACCATGATATCCTTGTCAGGGACTGGTCCTTTCTGACAACAGGACCAAAATACGAGAGACAAAATATGGTCATTCTCACTTTAAAGGAGTATTCTGGCTGTACTTCCTCCAAGACAGATTTATTCATTCATCTAACAGTTCAAGGTACATTCAATATTCTTTGCCAACACCACAATTCAAATGCATCAATTCTTTTTTGGCCTTCTTTATTCATTGTCCAGCTCTCACATGCATATGAGGCTATTGAAATTACTATGACTTGGGTCAGGCACACCTTGGTCTTCAAAGTGACCTCTTTGCTCTTAAATATTTTAAAGAGATCTTTTGCAACAGATTTGTCCAATGCAATACGTCATTTGATTTCTTGACTGCTGCTTCCAGGGATGTTGAGTATGGGTCTAAGTAAAGTAATATCCCTAAAAACTTCAGTCTTTCCTCCATTGATCAGGATGTTACTTATTGGCCTAATTGTGAGGATTTCTGCTTTCTTTATGTTGAGGTGTAATCCATACTGAAGGTTGTAGTCTTTGATCTTTGTTAGTAAGTGCTTCAAGTTGTCTTTGCTTTCAGTAAGCAACATTGTCAGTTACATATTGCAGGTTGTTAATGAGTCTTCCTCCAATCCTGATGCCACATTTTTCTTCATATAGTCCAGCTTCCCAGATTATTTGCTCAGCATACAGATTGAATAAATATGGTGAATTGATACCACCCTGACACACACTCTTCCTGATTTTAAACCATGCAGTAGCCCTTGTTCTGTTCAAACAACTGTCTGCTGGTCTAGGTACAAGTTCCTCCTAAGCACAATTGAGTGTTCTAGAATTCCCCTTTTTTGCAATATTATCTATACTTTATTATGATCCACACAGTTGAATGTCCCTGCATAGTCAATAAAACACAGGTAAACATCTTTCTGGCATTCTTTACTTTCAGCCAAGATCCATCTGACATCAACAATGATATCCCTCATTCCATACCATCCTCTGAATCTGGCTTGAATTTCTGGCAGTTCCCTGACAACATATTGCTGCAATCATTTTCAAATTATCTTCAGCAAAATTTTAATTGCATGTGATATTAACGATATTGTTCAATAATTTCCATTCTGTTGGATCACCTTTCTTTGTGAATGAGCACAAATATGGATCTCTTCCAGTCAGCGGGCCAGGTAGCAGTCTTCTAATTTCTTGGCATAAACAATTGAGCAAATCCAGTTCTACATCAGTTTGTTAAAACATGTCAATGGGTGTTCTGTCAATTCCTGGAGCCCTGTTTATGTTTCTTTTTGCCAATATCTTCAGTGCTGCTTGCATTTCTTCCTTCAAACCATCATCAGTTCCTGATCATATGTACCTCCTGAAATGGCTGAACATCAACCAATTCTCACAAGGATGGAAAAATTGCTGTGATGTATTAGCTGAGAAGAATATGAAATATAAATGATGTTTTTGGTATGTGGGTGGAAACTAAGCTAAAATTAAGAACTCTTAATACATTTTGGAAACACTTTGAAAACTTTAATGTCAGGGAAAATGTTATCATGGAAAATGATAGCATGTCAGGGACAGTTTATCTAGATCCTCACTATCAAATTCTAATTTGTTCTGAACTTAGAGTGAAGGCTCAATATTTTAATATGTATAAAGCATTTGGGAAATGATAGAAAATGTGAAAAGGAGCAATACTGAAAGTGCAACAAGGGAAAGCAATCCAGGAAATCCTCTCATTTCAAATAAACATTGATGAGATGGAATTATTTCTCAAAATGAAAGGAAAAAAGTTTGAGATCAAATGACTGTAGTGATAGCATTGACTCCATATTAGCAAGCTTTGATGGTTTACAAAGAGATGAGAGAGGAAAAAGTATTCTTGAATTTTGGGGAAAAACACTGTTCACAATACCCCCAAGTATACAAAATTTCTCTGGTAGTTTTGGGTACACCAGCTGTTCAGGTCAGTGTTGAAAGAGCTTTCTCAGGTTGTTTCAAATTCATCTTGTGAGACAACAGGGAAAGGTTAAATGAAAATATTAGAGGGCATTCTTTCAATTAGGTGTAATTATGGTTTATTGCAAGGATGTTTTCTTGATGAACTGCTTAATTGTGTATGAATTAAATCTATAATTGTAATAAAATGTTTATTTTATGTGATGTTTAACAATTCCTCAGCTTAGAACTGGGGTGAATATTAAACATTTTATTGTGCTTTTCCTTTATATATTGATGTATTGGGTATGATAGCATACTTTGTGTTTCTAGTATTTCATGAATAAATTCTTATTTATTTTGTTGTTGTTCTCAGGTGTTGTCGAGTTGACTCTATGGCATCTATGGCAATGATTGTGCAATAGAATGAAACACTGCCCAGGCCTGCACCAGACTCACAATCCTTGCTATACCTGAGTCCATTGTTGGGCCACTGTGTCAGTCCATCTCATTGAGGGTCTTCCCCATTTTCACTGACCCTCCTCAATTATTAATTTTATGGGACTATTAAGTGTTAGTGGTGAATTTTCACCTACATGAAAATTAAGTTTTTCAGAATTTTTTATAGTTTTGAGTTGAGAATTTCTTACTAAAAAAATATTTCAAATCTTCAATTCAATATGTATATAGTAATATTAAGAGTGTTTCACCACAATATTATTTTTAAAGTGACTCTGTGTTACAGTGAATTCTAGTATATTTAAAAGTATATATATGTTTAAAAATCATGCATTTTAAATCATGTTTTTCTTTGTATTGAAATAATTTGAGACCATGATTAAAACTGAACATCATTGTCACTTTAGATTTAACTATGAATGAATGCATAGAAAGAGTTTAATATTGCTACTTCCAAAACAAATAACAAAATCTTGAAATGAATAGAATTCAAGTTAATATACAAATGCAATATTATTTGCAATGTAAAGAATGGATTTGGTAGCCATATTTCTTCAGATGAAATTGTTCTAGGTTATCTATTTGGAAAATATAAATTTGATATTGGAGAGTACAAAAACAGGCTCTAACCAGTTTAAACAGGTTCAGTCATGGTTGACAAAGTGAAACCGGAACAGAATAGAATTTTCAAAATTTTGGTGAACCGGAACGATAACTGGAATGGAAAAAATTATGGCTCGAAGCCCTGACACTGACAAAGCATATTTTTGAGGCTAAATCTTACAAAATCTTTTCACCAATGCTCAGTAATTCTTTTAATCCTTTCCCCAAACTACTTAGCTTCCTCTCTATTTGATACTGAAAATATTCTTTACTCATGGCCTGCCAAAAACTGTTCCCAGCCTATAGCTACATTCTTTTCTTTGACAGAGATTAGCTATCACACAGAAAGCAACAATCCATTGTTAAAACATAAAGTCACTTGAAGAAAATGCCTGCAAGACTTTGAGTACTGAGGAGTGACTACAAATGGATACAAGAAATCTTCTTGAGATGATGGAAGTGTTCTGACATTGGATTGTGGTGACAGTTATTATAAAACTCTGTAAATTTACTAAAAAGCACTGAATTGTACACTAAAAATGAGACAATTTTCATGCCTCACCAGAGCTGTTTAAAAAAAGCACTTGGGTACCTTTCCCTGAATGATGCTGTAGCCTGAGGGCTTTAAAGTCCAGTATGAGGCCTAAGAAATATAGGAAAGCAGAATTTAAGATAATAAATGGCAAAGGCTTTTCTCAGAAAAGGGTGGCACTGTTAGGCATGGTACCCAGTCTGTGGGTCACCAGAGTTACAAAGGCAGACATTGGGCAGTAGTAGGGTGCCATCCACAGCTGGCAGTCCCAATCTGCTGTGTGGCATTGCTGGATGCAGGAAGGCAGATGGAGCCCATCAGGTTTAGAGAAAGTTGGCTGAGGAAGGTGCTGTTCGAATTTAAGAAAAAGCAATTCAGAAAACTTCCTCCAATAGTGGTAAAGGAATGAGAAGGGAAAGGGGGGATCTTCAAGGAAAACCTATAATTCATATAAATTTGGCATTATTATACCCCAAACTAACTTCTTATGGACCCTTCCCTTCGGCAGAGCCCTTCCCAACTCAGGAAGCACCCCCTGGCACCTGTGCTCCATTGCTACCTTCCCAGTACAAGCCTATATGGCAACTCTCCTGGACAGTACAATGGTCTCTTAATCAGTCATCCTGCTTCCACTCACACCCAATAATCAATCTCCACACAGCAGTTAAAATGAGTTTTTGAAAATGTACATCAGATGTTCAACATTATTAGGCATCCATAACAACAACAACAACAACAACAAAAACCAAACTCATTGCTGTTGAGTAGGATCCAACTCATAGTGACCCCTCCTTGAGTTTCCGAGGTGGTGTCACTACAGAAATAGATTCCCCAACCTTCCTTCTGAGGAGTGGCTGGTGGCTTTGAACTGCCAGCCTTTTGGTTAGCAGTCAAATGCCTTAGGCACTACGCCACCAGAGCTCCTGAATTCCCTAGGAAGCATCAGGGAAATGCAAATCAAAGCCAAGGTGAGCTAACACTTCACCCCCACTATTATAAAACAACAACAACAAAAAATTGAAAATAACAAGTATTGGCAAGAATGTGGGAAAATGGAAACCCTCATCCATTGCTGGTGGGGGCGGAAAATGATGAAGTCACTGTGGATAATTAAAATGGCAAACGTGATGTTATACATATTTTGCCACAATAATAAAAATAATAAGAAGCACATCCTATTTATCCTTGTCCAAAGTCCTCCCGTGGCTTCCTGGCTCCCTCAGAGTAAGACAATGATCTTACAGTGACTTGTGTCCTAGGTCCTATGCAATCTGCCCAGTCCTGCCCACACTGTCTGACTTTCACTTTCTGTGATTAAGCCTTTCAGGATCCTTCAAAAACCTCATACACATTCCATCTCAGAAGGCGTAGGTTTCCTATTTCCTTTGCCAGCAGCCTTCCTCCTCTGCATCCCCACATGGCTCCCTCCTCCTCATCACCTGCTCAAACATCATCCTTTTAGAGAAGTCTTCTCTCACCCCACTCACTCTCAGTCATGTCACCTGGCTTTACGTTCTTTATCACACTCAACAACACCTGAGATTATCTTAGTTGTTTAGCTGGTTTGGGCCTTTCATACTACTCCTCAAAAATGCTGGATGAGGACAGGGACACTTTGGAGGATTAACTCATCACTGCACCCCCACACGGAGCACAGGACCTGGCACACAACAGGCACTCAGCAGACACTTGTTGAATGAATGAATGAATGAACACTACGTAGCTACTCCTAAATAGAGTGCCAAACCCCCTCTCACCAATTTACTCAGTTTGCTGAGACTAAGCCCCAAACCAGCCCTGTTTTTCCCACTTCCCGAAAACAAGTCAAACTGAGTTACCAATGATGACACCAACTTCACAGTAGGGATCGTCGTAGGCACACGTCATCATGGTCCCCACGGTGTCATTGACCAAGGCCAGGATGTCCACATCCATGTCCTGCCAGAACACAAGTCCCAGGGAGTGTTAGTGGGTGGGAACACAGAGGAAGCAAAAGAAGTGATGTGATTGGTTAAGACAATAATTAGATGCTGTCTGCTGGGCCTACGGGAAACAAAGTCTTTATTAAGATGCAGTGTCCTTAACTATGACCAGGGCAGAGTTTGAGAGAGAGAGAAGGGCAGATTGGAGACTGAAGAGGAAACCAATACGCGTGCGTTTTTATGCCTCTGTGCAATGGAAATATGAAGGGCAGACTTCCAGGAGTTCAGGCCCTGTTTGGGGAACACTGGGAAGACACTGAGGGTAGCACAATTAATCTGGAAGCAATGGCACTTTCAGGAAAAAACACCGAAGTCCTCACCCACAGGGGCATCTCAACCAGCAAGCACAGCCCCAGCCAAATCCTGGGAGTGGGGGAATGGGGAGACAGCACCAAGGGATTCCCATCTGGGTTTCCTCCTGCTGAGGCAGCTTGAGTTACTGCACCAAGGTTAGGGTTCGGGGGAACCATTTAAAATAAAATGAAAATGGTAAGAGAGAAAAGAAGGCTATGAATGAATACAATTCCACTTTCACAAAGAAAAGACTCAAAGGCTACACACCGAAACATTCCTCCTGCTGGTAGTAGGCAACTTGGATTTATCTGTGTACTTTTCAGCTCTGCAAGGAGTGTGTCTTCCTTTTGCAATTATTTAGATTATTTAAAAATATGCTCAATGAAGAAAGAGTAGGTATGAGACAGGAGAGAAAATGTTCTTTTAAGGCTCTGAGAGGAGAAGTGGGGGGAAAAGGAAGGAACCAAGACTGGCTGGGGAGGCCTGGGAAGTTCAGGGCTACCTTTTGAAGACCAAGCAGTGATTTGAACAAGTCCCACATACCAAGACTCATTGATGGGTTATCAAACTGGCCTCATCTCTACTGTAGTGAGACCTTCCCTAAGACTTAAGTTCTTTTAGTATTCTCTCAGGGCAGGTACAGTACAAAACCCCACCCAGTAAAAAGGGCTAGGGCTGGGAGAACCCCTCAAACCAAGGTGAGTCCTCACCGGGTGTTTTTTCATGGCTTTTGTCAGATGACCCACTACATCTGTGTCCTGGACTCCTCGCGCCTTAAATTTCTTGGTCCATGAAAGCAGGACTCCCTGTGGGAAGAGGTCAGATCAGTCAGAATGAAGTACGTTCTCAGATGTGAATACTGTTGTTGTTAGCTGCTGTCATGTCAGCCCTAACTCACGGCAACCCCGTACACAGTAGAGCAAAACGCTTTGCCATCCCTATGACCTTTGACCATCCCAGATCAGTTGGGAAGGAGCTGTTGGGATCTATAGCATTTTCACTGGTTGGTTTTCAGAAAGAGATCTCCAGGACCTTCTTCTTGGTTGTCTTCATTTGGAAGCTTTGGCTGAAACCTGTTTAGCATCACTGACAGGCTGTGCTTGAGGTGCACTGGCCAGAAACAGAATCTAGGTGCTATGGATTGAACTGGTCCCCTAAAAACGTGTTGCAAATCCTAACCTCTATGCCTGTAGAAAGGAGCTCTGGTAGCATAGTGCCTAAGGCACTTGACTGCTAACCAGGCTGATGGTTCAAATCCACCAGGCACTCCTTGGAAGGAAGGTTAGGCAACCTACTTCTGTAGTGATACTGCTTCAGCAACCCAAGGAGGGGTCGCTATGAGTCAGTTCCACTCAGCACATAACAACAACATGCCTGTGGTTATAACCCCATTTGTGAATGGGTTCCCTTTGTCATGTTAATGAGGCAGCACCCTTGTTGGGTCTTGAGATAATCTCTTTTTGAAATATAAAGGAGATCAAACAAGCAAGAGAAGGAAGCACAGATGGGGAAGAGAAATGCCAAACCACATGAAGATCACCCAGGAGCAGAAGCTAAAAGACACCTTGCTCCAGAGTTCCCAGAGAGCCTTCACCTAGAACCAGCACCCTGAATTTGCACTCCAAGCCTCCCAAACTGTGAGAAAAGAAATAAATGTCTGTTTGGTAAAGCCACCCATTTATGGTATTTCTGTTATAGCAGCACTAGTTCACTAAGACACCAGGTCCCCTGCATGGAAGGTGACAGTTCTGATAGAGCCACCTCTACCCCATGTGAACATTAGATGCAGAAATTTCAGAGTTCACATGTGTCTCCGTTGGCCTTCTCTTACCTAAGTGAATCACAGCAATTGTCCTAATGGTTTCTTTAGCGGCCTTTTCTAACAATTTAAACTGTTCTTCCAATAATTTAAAAGAAATAATTATCTATTATTCTTATCTGGAGAGTTGCAAAGATTATATATAAAGGCTGAAAGAGCAACTGCTGAAGAGTTAGGACACTTGGATTCATGAAATCTTAGACAAACCATTTAATCTGAGTATCAGTTTATTCATCTGTAAAATGGAAATATCGCTTCCCTGCCCCTCTCATGAGAATGAAGACACCTGGTGAATAAAAACCAAAACTCAAACCCACTGCCATCGAGTCATTCCAACTCATAGCGAATAGAACTGCCCCATAGGATTTCTGAGGCTGTAAATCTTAATGCAAGCAGACTGCTGTATCCTTCTCTGGCAGAGTAGCTGGTGGGTTCAAACTGCCAACCTATTGGTTAGCAGCTGAATGCCTTAACCATTGCACCATCAGAGCTCTACCTGGTGTATGCTGCTGTTGCTGTTTGGTGTCGTTGAGCCGGCTCCAGCTCACAGCAACCCTGTGCACAACAGAACAGAATACTGCCCGATGCTGTGTCATCCTCATCGGAGAAGCTGGAGTACATGAATAATGCAGCACCTGGTGCATAGTAGATGCATACTATGTGTGCAGAATAAAGGGTTGACCAGGCCCGTAAAATAGGACTAACATGGTGTTGTCTTGTAGGAATCCCTGGGGAACTTAATCTCAATTTAGAAAAATGGTTCTCAATTTGCATTATCAATCATTTGCCTACAAATGGTGTTTCCCAAGCATTTCATGTCTGAAATAGCAAATCATCATTGAATGCTTCAGACTGGAAGAGACCTTGGTGGTTAAGAGACTTGCCCAAGGCCACACAGTCAAAAGTGGCTTAGCCAAAGTCACAAACTTCCCGGCCACCACTCCTCCAATAACCTCTTTGGTTTATGGATAAGAGAACTGACATTCAGAGTTTGCTCTAGGTCTCCTGTGAGTGAAGGACACAGCTCAATAAGACAACGGTCCCTGATTTCCATTTACAACCAGAGTTTTGTTTGTTTCTTTCTTTTTTCAACTTAAACACAGCGCCACCCTGTGGCAGCTCTCTTTAACTTCTGCCTTCATAGCGTCACCTGATAGGGAAGTGTTGTTGTTGTTGTTACGTGCCATCTGGTTAGCAGTCAAGTGCCTTAGGCACTATGCTACCAGAGCTCCTGATAGGGAAGTGAGAGATGCAGTATGCTGTTTCCCCACACCCCTAAGAAAGGAAATTAGAAATCTCTAGGGCGAAGTTTGAGAGTGCAGTGCCTAAGGCATTTGACTATTGACCAGAAGCCTGGCAGTTTAAACCCACCAACCACTCCTCAGAAGGAAGATACGGTGATCTACTGATCTACTCCCGTAGTTACACTGCCTAGGAAACCCAAGGAGGGTTCGCTATGAGTCAGATCCGATTCCGTGGCAGTGAGTTTGGTTCTTGGAGGGGGAGGTTTCAAGTTCATGATGTGACTGTACCCTGGATGATAGAACAGTATATGCAGTAGGAGATCAGGAGTCTCCACCCAGACTTGACTCATGACCCTAACACCCTGGTCGCAGAACATTCATTGTCCTTTTCCATGTTCCCTTACTTATTCTCACAGATTTACATAAGGTTGGGTTTATCTTCCCCCTGTTTACAAATTAAAAAGCTGGGTGCACAAAGGTGAATTACCTGAGACGTACACGGGACAGGGGCACAGCCGAGACTGTGCACATTCCAGGCACCGGCTCTCCTCAGTAACGTTCACTCCAGTGACCCCACCTCAACCCTTAAGGGTCAGCTGGAGAGGTGAGCTACCCCAGCCAACTAGCTTTTATTCTAGTCAGTTATGTCAATGATTCTAACTATGGTACCCAGGCTGGCAGCATCCATATCACCTGGAACTTGTTAAAAATGCAAATTTAGGGCCCCACACTAGACCCACTGGTTAAAAAAACTCTGGGGTGGGGCCCAGCATTCTGTGTTTTAACTAGCCCTAGAGAGGATCTCTATGCACACTGAGGTTTGAGAACCACTGGGCTCCTTAAGCTGTGCCCATGTTAAGTGTAAAATCAAAGCACCTGGGGTAACAAGGTCTCTGTCTCACATCTCTATCTCCTCATTTAAAAAAAAGAAAAGAAACTCCTGTTGGATGCCCTGGGTCCTCCTCTTCCCAACTCCTCTCATATGAGCACATACCCTGTAACCCCCGACCTCACATCCTGCATAGCTCCCCCACCCCATGCCCAACCTTCCACCAGCTTACCTCTTCCAATTTAGTCTGCTTGCAGGGAAATGAAAAAGTTAGTCCAAGAGGAAATTTCTTATGCTTCAAATCTTTAGTCTTCATGAAATCGGCCAGGCAGTCAACTACATAATCGAACAGCTGCAGAGAAGAGAAAGCAAAGGACTATGGGATGAGGCATGGGCACTCCTCAATGTGATGCCAAGGCCGCCCCACCTTCACAGCAGCTGCCTGTCTGGGTACCTCAGAGCCGTTCCCTCGGATAATTTCATTGGGTGTTGGGTAGAACTGGCTCTCCATCTGGACGTTTCGCTTCCCCTCTTCAGAGACTTGCACCTTTAACACCCGAAACTTGGATCCTCCAAGATCCAGGGAAAGAAACTCTCCATTTTCTATTTAAAAAAAAAGAAAGAAAGAAAGGAAAAAAACCACTAATTGAGGTTCTACTATATGGAAAGCTCTGCATTCGAAGTTGGACATATAATAACCAGTTGCCATTGAGTCAATGCCGACTTGTGTGTCAAAGTAGAAGTGTGCTCCAAAGGGTTTTTAATGGTTTGTAGTAGATCACCAGGCCTTTCTTTCAAGGCACATTCTGGGTGAATTCAAACTTCCAACCTTCAGGTTAGCAACTGAGCACATTAACCATTGGACATATAATAAATGTCATTAACCCTCACCACCACCCTATGAGCTTGGTTATATTGTTACCCCATTTGCTGAGGCTCAAAGAAGAGCAGTCATTTATCTAAGCCCTTGCAATAAGGGACAGACCTGGGTGTGAACCCAAGTCTTTCTGACTCCACAGCCTGAGCCATTCCCACTGGGTCATGCTGTAGAGAATGAGTGTATTCATTTGGAGAAGTGTGTCCATGAAGAACGCACTTCATGGAGGTGGTATTAGAAATGGGCCTTGAAGGTTGGGTAGATTCCATCACAGGGAAGAGAAGGGAGATACTCCCCGTGTGGGGAAATGTGGACAAAGGCGTGGAAGATAAGGCAGGTGGGTGTGCAGGGGAAAGAAGCCAGCCCGTACACGGTTCAACCTGATGGGAGGTATTTTGGTTCCCTAATGTTGCTCTGACAGGAATATATACCACGAATGGAATGGCTTTAACAAGCAGGAGTTTATTTTCTTACAGTTTTGGAGGCTAGAAGCCTGAGTTCAAAGTGCTGGGCTCTAGGGGCTGGGTGAAAGCCCCTCGACCTTGGCTTCAGCTCAATGAGACGGGTTGACACAACACTCACAATAGTAGACTCAGACATATCAACAATCACAAAGATGGCACAGCACCAGCCAATGCTTTGTTCAGTCATACACAGGGTCACCATGAGGCAGAGCCAATTCAACTAACAATAATAATAACAAGATGCCAAGGATTTTTTTTTTTTTTAGGCCAGCGTCACTCCAACAGGAGAAAATGAAAATGACTGAGCCTAATGCAAGATAGAGGCTATTAATAAAACGGTGGAAAAGAGACACATATTGGACACCCTACCCTGGCAACTTCTACTTGAACACAGCCAGAATTTCTTCCAGAAACACCTTATTTAAGGAGCTCTGGTGGTGTAGTGGTTAAGGCAGTAAGCTGCTAACCAAGATTGGTACTTCTAACCCACCAGCTGCTCCACAGAAGAAAGATGAGGCGGTCTGCTTCCGTAAAGATTTACAGCCTTGGAAACCCAATGGGGGTCACAATGAGTCAGAATTTACTCATTGGCAGTTAGTTTGGCTTGGTTTAGTTTTTGTTATGTACCAAGCAAGAAGAGATGCTTTCATACGAATTATCTCACTGGATGTTGTTGTCATGTGCCGTCAAGTCAGACTTGACTCATAGCGACCCCTCCTTGGGTTTCCAAGGTGGTATCATTATGAAAGTAGATTGCGAACCTTCCTCCCAAGGAGTGGCTGGTGGGTTTGAACCACTAGCCTTCTGGTTCGCAGTCAAGTGCCTTGGGCACTATGCTACCAGAGCTCCTATCTCACTTCGTAGGAAGTCGGATAGCTCACAGAGATTTTCAGCAAGACAGTGCCAAGATCTGATAGAGATTTTGGATGTACATTTACTGACCTCCTACTGTGTGCCAAGTAACGTGCCAGGTAACAGGGTGCAAAGATAAAAGACTGTGGCTTCCCTTGGGAGTCTATCAGGGATAAGCCCATTACCATTGAGTTGATTCTGCCTCTTAGTGACCCTATTTCAGGGATACAGGTAAGTAACTAAATACAGAAAACAAAACAAAACCCACTGCCACCAAGTTGATTCCAACTCATACAGACCCTTCAGGATGGAGTAGAACTGCCTCATAGGGTTTCCAAGTCAGTAAATCCTTATGGAAGCAGACCACTTCATCTTTCTCTAGCAGAGCAGCTGGTGGATTTGAACCACTGGCCTTTTGGTTAGCAACCAAATGCTTTAACCACTACACCTCCAGAGCTCCTTAAGTTCAGGGAAGGGCCTCTAATTCACAGTCAAGGGCAGCTCTGCAGAAGAGGCGATAGAGTCAAGTGTTGAAAGATGAGAGAGTTAACCAGACAAGGATAGCAGTGTCTCGGGGAGAGGACTCCATAAGCAAAGGAATGGGGGGAGTGGGAGGATGCGGAGTCACAAGAGAGCGCATGGGGTCTGTGCTTTTGAGGCAGGAGGGGAGCTGTGACAGAAATTGGGCTGGAAGGTAGTCTCTAGTTAAGTTAGGAAAAACTGGAAGGAGCTTGAGCTTTATCCAGGTGAAGGGATTTGTTGCGAAGCCACAGAGATTTTCAGCAAGAGAGTGCCAACATCTGATAGAGATTTTGGAAAAGTGCCTCTGTCACCAACCAGGAATGGAGTGGAGGGTTTCAAAGCCAAAGAGGAGGTCCCCGTGCTGCATCCAGACCGGAGGTGACACACTGAGGTCAGATGCAGGGTCTGCATGAAAACATTCCTTCCTCCAGTGGCCAGTGCCATTATGACTGTGCAAACTACCCTCCCTCCCCAGGAATTCAGATGCTATTTCATGGACACCACATGGTATACCTCCTTCAGTGACTCTGACCCCAGAGAAAGGATTCATTGGCCCGTGGGAGAGAAAGGTGCTTCCCAGGGAGAAGGAAGTCCAGAGCAGCAGTGGGGCCCGCAGGTCTTCAAAGCAATTGTTAGGAAAATGACCACCCAAGAGGGTAAGTCCTACTGCAGAGCCCTGGGGCCATCAGCTAGCCCTGGACTGACCAACTGGGGGCTCCCAGGGCTTACCCTTCAGGGAGCCAGCCTATAGAGAGAGGTCAAGAAGAGAGCCAGCTGAGGCTGGGTCTACAAAATCATGTTGTTGTTGTTGTTGTTATGTGCCCTCGAGTCGGCCCCGACTCATAGCGACCCCTCCTTGGGTTTCCGAGGCAGTATCACTATGGAAGTAGATTGCCCCATCTTCCTTCCGAGGAGTGGCTGGTGGATTTGAACCGCCAGCCTTCTGGTTAGCAGTCAAGTGCCTTAGGCACTATGCTACCAGAGCTCCCCTACAAAATCATAGTTATTTTCAAAATAATGTTATGGGCATTCCTATGCCCCTTCCCTCCATGAATGGTAAAGGAGAAGGCACAAATTATAACCCAACTCTTTTAAGGCATTTTATCCTAATTAGATAGGAGCAGTGTTACTTCAGTGGTAGAATTCTTGCCTTCTATATGGGAGATCTGGGTTCAATTCCAACCAATGTGCCTCACGCACAGCTACCACCCCCCTGTCAGTGGAGGCGTGTGTGTTGCTGTGATGCTGAACAGGCTGCAGTGGAGCATCCAGACTAAGACAGACTAGGAAGAAAGGCCTGATGCCATTTATAGAAATCATCCAGTGAAAGCCCTATGGATCACAATGGTCCAACAGACAACTAACCATGAGGGTGGATGGTACAGGGCCAGGCAGCATTCATTTGTGCACAGGGTCACCATGAGTTTGGGGGTAACTTGATGGCAACTGACAACAATAACGGCCTCGTTGAAAGCAGGCTGGGAGTAACTAAGGCACAAACAATTTACAACACAACGAAACACTGCCCAGTCCTGCACCATCCTCACAGGCCTTGCTGTGCTTGAACCCATCGCTGCAGCCACTGGGTCAATCCATCTTGTTGAGGGCTTTTCCCTTTTTCACTGACCCTCCACTTCACCAAGCATGACATCCTTCTCCAAGGAATGGTCCGACTGACAACATGACCAAAGTAGGTGAGACGAAGTCTGCCCATCCCTGCTTCCAAGGAGCATTCTGGCTGCACTTCGTCCAGGACAGATTTGTTCATTCTTCTGGCAGTCCACGGTACTTTCAGTACTCTTCACCAACACCATAATTCAAAGGCATCAGTTCTTTGGTCTTCCTTAGTTGTTTGTTAGCAACCATGAAATTACACTAGATCACCAGAGCTCTCTGAAGGACTTGGGGCAACATTTTAGAGATTTTAAAGCACTCCTTTCATGTGACTTCATCTGATTCTAACAACCCTGCCAGGTGGTGGGACAAACTGGCCACAGTCCTTTCACTGATGTGGACAGGAGCCCTGGGGGTCCTAGAACTTGCCAAGGGCACCTGGCTAAGCTAGGCCTCCAGGACCAGGGACCTCATATAACAAAATTGCTGGTGAGATATACCACATGCTTAATGAGAGGATCTGAGGAGGCATTGTCTCCTGGCCTGAAGAGAAGCAAATTTCAAAAACGTTGTCAGTTTGACTTCCAAACCTTCCTGAAGCAGCCAGGGTAGGAAAGGCACATCCTGCCACTACAACCTTCAGGGTATCAAAGGCCACTTTCCCTAGCTTCTGGGGACATGCCTTCTGGAGAAGGAGCTACAGAACAGGAAGCCAGAAGGACTTAGCCCTGGAGTGCCCCCCCCACCCTCACCCCCACACACACCCCATGAGTCAGGAAATAGATGTTGACACAGCTGCTTCCTCTGAATGGCCCTGGATGACCCATCAAGGACAACAGCCCCCTAAAAAAAGTACTGTCAGTGAGCTGAGTCAGGGATCAAGCCGATTCCAAAGTAAGACCATCCCTCTCCAAAGTTATGTTCTTCCAGCTTAGTGCACTGCCTGCTCCACACACCCACCCACCAGGGAGAGAACAAAGCCTTTTCCCTCACTTCCAGGGACCTCATAACCAGCAGAACCAAGCTACCTTTGATCCATACATTTCCCCAGAGGAGCCCAGGACCTGACTAATCCAATCAAGGTCCCCCAAAAGTTCCCCAAGCTTCAGTCCCTGCTCCTTCAAGAGCCGCCAAGCCTTCTTCTGGAGCTTGGTATGTGCACTGGCCCCATGTCAGGGAAGCTCCTGGGTCTGCAGTGCTTTCATCTGACCTGGAGTACTAGCTACACCTCAGGGTTCTTATAGGCATTATGTATGATGATGAATCCCTGGCTACCAATAGCCACAGCAGGTGCTCAGTAAATATCAGTTCCTTTCCCTCTTATGGCTTTGTCTAGAGGCTAAGAATGGAACAATTGGGTGGGATTTCACGGACCCCTGTAGAAGGTTCTAGGCTATGCTAGGCAATTAACGGCCCCTCCATAACGTTCATATTCTAATCCCTGGATCCTGTGAGTATGTTATATTACACAACAAAGGGCAATTGAGGTTGAAGATGGAATTAAGTCTCCTAATAAACTGACTTTAAAGGTGGGAGACTATACTGAATTATTAGGCAGAAGAGTCAGACAGAGATGCTACATTGATGGCTTTGAAGACAGAGGACGAGGCCATGAGCTACAGAAGGTAGGCAGCCTCTAGAAACTGGACAAGGTAAGGAAAAAGATTCTTCCCTAGTACTTCTAGAAGGAACACACTCCTGCAAACACCTTGATTATAGTCCACTGAGACCCATTTCGGATGTCTGACCATCAGAACTCTAAAAGAATAAATTTGTATTGTTTTAAGCCACTAAATTTAATGGTAATTTGTTTCAGCAGCAAAAGGAAACACACACACTCACAGGCCAACCTTCTCATTTTACAGATGGAGAAACTGAGGCTAAACAGTTACCTACGGTCATTGAGAAGTGACAGAGCAGGGCCCAGAACCCAGGTTTCTTAAACTACCATTTAACACTCTTTATACTCATAATGCTTCCTTTCACTCTTTATTATCCATAAGGTGGAATCTAGATGCCTAGGAGTGAAATGCCATTTATTATTTACTCAACAAATATTTGAGGACCTAGAGTGTATCAGACACTATACTGGGTGCCCAGAACACTGTGTACAACGATACACATATCTGTCCTCATGTACACTGGGACCCTGATGTTGGGAAAGCTCCTGGGCCTACAGTGCTTTCATCTGACCTCCTGGCAATACACCTCTTGGCTCAGTGGGGAGACTCAGACACAGACTTGAGGTGATAGTGCTGACAAGCATCTTGCGCAGTATGAAATGATTTCCAGATGAAGGCAGTAATAGTGGGTAGAAAAGCTAAGTTAGTGTTTGCCAAGGGAAAATGCTCCAGAAGAAAAGGGAAAAGAATGTGTGAGGTCATGGTGAGCAGAGAAAAAGCAAGGGGCCTTTGTCTGTAACCCAGAGGTGTTCAGTACTGCTAAACCACAGAAGAAAGTCGGGCAGAGTGGGGAGGAAGAATCAGAGAGAAGGTTGGAGAGGTAAGCCAAGATCTGAGAGTATAAAAATGGCATGGCTGTGGTCTCTGACCTCCTCTAACTGCACAAGGGGAAGACAGAATTATCATCTGCATCAACAGCCCAAGGCTGATTCCTATGAGGCGGAGGTCAGACATGCCTCTACTCTCCAACCTTTTTACCAATTCTGACGCCAATCGTCCCTCTTACGGCACTCTCTACTTCTCTGCTGGGTTCAATAATTTGTTGCAGTGGCTGCACAGAACTTACAGACAATACTCATAATTATGAGGCTTATAGGGATGTAACAGGTTACAATTCAAGATCAGAAACAAATCAGGATACAGTTCTTCAATCAGTTCAGCCTCTTCTCGGCCTTGACGCAAGTAGGCCTCTCACTGCTCCTGAGCTCCCCGAGGGACCTTTGGGGCCAACTTGGCTTCTGCCCTGCTGAGGCAAGTGTTACCAAGCTCTTTTTACTTTGCCGATAGGTGCTCAGAGGTACCCCACTCTGCCAGGAAGTTTCGACCCAAAGGTGCACAGCTCTAGCTCCATGGGTTGGCAAGCCTGAATCCCCCAGGGGTCCAGAGGCACCCTATTCTGCCAGCAAGCCTCCTGTCCCAAGGCTCTCAGCTCTCTCACTCCATGGGCTGGGAAGCCCACCACACCATCTCCTGCCAGTCTCCTGCCTCTGCTGCTCCTGCTTCTCTGCTACTATTTCTCTGCCACCACTCTTTGCTACCTCTCACTGTCTCTCTGGTGTTACAGCTCTGTGTGTCTCCTGGGTTGAGAAGGTTCCCAGCACAGGGATCCCAGGCCCAAAAGACAGGCTTTGCTCCCATCTCTTCTTGGTGGTAGTTACGTACCCCTTTTCCACCACTAGAATGGTTCATTTTAAGCCCAGTGGGATAGCAAAACTGATCAATCCCCACATTTGGGTTCCATATGCCTTATTTGCATGGTCCCACCCACACAAGGGTGCCCAGCCCCTTATTTAGATTTTTAGCAAGCTATCCAATCCCCTTGGTGAGTGGCAAGCACCTCACATTTGCATAGTCCTACCCAGTCACATGCAAGTAAAATGTCGCTGAAAATAGTTCAAAAACAGTTGCAGCAGTATACTGACAGGGAACTTCCAGAAATGCAAGCTGGATTGAGAAGAGGATGTAGAACTAGGGATAACATTGCTGATGTCAGATGGACCTTGGCTGAAAGAGAATATCAGAAAGATGTTTACCTGTGTTTGATTGGCTATGTAAAGGCATTTAACTATGTGGGTCATAACAAATTATGGATAACATTGTGAAGAATGAAATTCCATAACACTAAATTGTGCTCATGAGGTACCTGTACATAGAGCAAGAGGCTGTCATTTGAACAGAACAAGGGGATACTGCATGGTTTAAAATCAGGAAGGGTGTGCATCAGGGTTGTCTCCTTTCACCATACTTATTCAATCTGTATGCTGAGCAAATAATCCAGGAATCTAGACTGTATGAAGAAGAATGTGGCATCAGAATTGGAAGAAGACTCATTAACAACCTGAGATATGCAGATGACATAACCTTGTTTGCTGAAAGTGAAGAAGACTTGAAGCATTTACTGACGAAGATCAAAGACTATAGTCTTCAGTATGGATTACACCTCTACATAAAGAAAACAAATCATCACAACTGGACCAATAAGCAACATGATGATAAATGGAGAAAAGATTAAAGTTGTCAGGGATTTCATTTTACTTGGATCCACAATCAACACCTGTAGTAGTTAGGTTCTGTGTCAGCTTGGCTGGGCCTGGTTTTGAGTGGCTGGACAGGTGATTGTAGTTATTCCCCACAATGAGACTGGCAATCAACTCCATGTTGAAATCTGCCATGAGCAGCTGAGTAGCTGCTTTGGGGCTGTGGTCTTTTTCCTGTATATAAAGAGAAGCTTTGGAAATGGTCTGCAGCTTTTTGGCATGTGTGGACCCTACATATGGCTGAGTTTTCATGTAGCAGCCTACCATGTTTCCTGCTGATCTTGGGACTATCTCTGGACTTGAACTAGTGGCCTGGTGTGTTGGTAACATTGGGACTGTGCTATTTTATTCGTTGACCTTGGGTTTATTAGCCTCACTAGCCAGCAGTTGTCTGAGTGGAGAGATACCTCTGCCCCCAGTGGGTCAGAATCAAAAGGCAGAGCTGAAGCCCAAGTTTGAGGGGCTTTCACCCAGCTCCTAGAGCTTGGCACTTTGAACTCAGCCTTCTAGCCTCCAAAATTGTAAGAGAATAAACTCCTGTTTGTTAAAGCCATCCACCTGTGGTATTTTTCTGTTAGAACAGCACTAGAGTCCAAAACAACACCTGTAGAAGCAGCAGTCAAGTAATCAGATATCGTATTGCACTGGGCAAATCTGCAAATGACCTCTTGAAAGTGTTAAGGAGCAGAACTTGGAGGACATTATGCTGAGTGAAATAAGTCAATTACAGAAGGACAAATATTGTATTAGTTCATTACTGTAAAAAGTCAAGGAAAGGAAGGAAGGAAACTTTCTTTGTTGGTTACGGGTAGGGGCGGAGGGAGGATACACTGCAAATAAATAAATAAAGTGTTAAGGAGCAAAGATGTCATTCTGAAGACTAACCCAACCCATGGTATTTTCAATTGCCTCATATGCATGTGAAAGCTGGACAAGGAATAAGGAAGACCAAAGAAGGCTTGATGCCCTTGAATTATGGTGTTGGCAAGGAATACTGAAAATACCACGGACTGCCAGAAAAATAAACAAACTGTCCTGGAAGAAGTGCAGCCAGAATGCTCCTTGGAAGCGAGAATGGGCTGTTGTTGTTAAGTGCCGTGGAGTCGGACCCAACTCATAGCGATGCCTCCTTGGGTTTCCAAGGCAGGATCACTATGGAAGTAGATTGCCCAAACTTCCTTCCGAGGAGTGGCTGGTGGGTTTGAACCGCCACCTTCTGGTCAGCAGTCAAGTGTTACCTTAAGCACTATGCTACCAGAGCTCCTTGGTAAAGGAGAGTGTCAGCAAAAAAGAAGACTCTTGACAAGATAGATTGGCACAGTGGCTGCAACAATGGGCTCAAACATGGCAAGGATTGTGAGGATGGCACAGCACTGGGCAGGGTTTTGTTCTGTTGTACATAGGGTTGCTATGAGTCAGGGCCATCTCGACAACAAAGAAAACAACCCAGTCATGTAATAGGAGTTACATAGACTGTGGCTAGAAGGCCATATTAAGCAATTCACTGCACCACAAGGAGCACACTTCAGGTACCCCACCCCCAGCCAAGAGAAAACTGCAAGGATCAAGGTCCTGGCAGCCCCAGCCCCACTCACCGGAGCCATCTGGAATGGCCCTGACAAAGGTGGGCAGCATCTTCACTGAGGCTGTGGGGTTGGTGTCCTTCCTCAGGCCCTTCTCCATCTCAGCCTGGAACCGCGCCTTGATGTCCAAAAGCGTCTCATCAGAGAGCCGCATGTGATACAGGAATCTGTCCACCTGGAACAGACGTCGGGGCAGTCAGGCCTGGCTGTGGGGGCACTTGCCCTACAGTCGAGGCCATAAGCTTTCTGCCCCATCATGAAGCTGCACTCCTCAATCAGAGGACAGCTTTGTGATGCGCTTTCCCAAAAGGCCCTGCCTGACCCCTTGTCAAGCTGGGAACAACGTGAGGAGTTGGGAGAACAGAATATAATGGATGGCTGTCGAGGTGGGGATTTCTGGCCTCCTCTGGAGTATAGGCTTGGAGGAAGAAATGATCTCTCCATTTTTCTGATGGGACAATGACAAGGCAGAAGCCAAGAAGGATTCAGGGTTTCTAATTCTCAGTTCATGCCCCCATCATCATCTCCACTGGAAAAGACTAGATATATTTTGACTCTTAGATTCCTGAATATGGAAAGTTTCCTTTGTCTGATGAAGAAATATATATAGCCAAACATGTTTCCCTTAATTCAATGGCTGCTAGGAAACTCAGAGCTAAATTCATTTTTCAACTGCAATCTCTAAAATCTAGTTCTTTAAATTTTCATTTTGTTTTTAACTGAGGTTGTTTGAATTTGGATGAAGTTTAATTTTTAAAGCCAGCTCAAATTGCCAATGGAAATGAATGGATGCCACTCAAATAAATAAAAGTAACCAGGAAATTGAGGCAAAAAAGGCCACTGTTCCAGTGGAGAGAAGTTACAACAATCACTGCAGCTGTGCTCAATCCACTTGAAGGTAAAATCAGATAAAAAATGGCAGAAAGTTCCCTCCCTGATGCTAATGTTGAGCAGTGGGTGTTGGTAGTTTGGACTTCAAGGGCTCACTAGGAGAGACACCGTGATGGATGATGGAGGGGGGGGGGGGAGGGCAGGAAGAGGGAGAGTAGCGTGTGTGCCATGTACTTGCCATCTATGCTTTGTATTTGCTGAGAGTCCCCTCCACCCACCCAGGTCACAAGGAGGCTGGGCAAAGGCACATCCCTGTAGGAAGTACCCTCCCACACCTATCTAAGGCTAAGAATATGGGCTGCAGGCTACAAAGTGCTTTCATGCACAGCCATCACTTCATCTCCCAGCATCCCCTTGAGAAAGCCAAATGAGGCCAGAAATATTGCCCCTAATGCAAATGGTCATTGTACTAGGCTGCTACCCGAAAACCTGGAGGTTCAAATCCACCCAGAGGCACCTTGAAAGAAAAGCATGGTGATGGGCTTCTGAAGAACAGCTCTGGGAAACACTACAGAGCCCAGTTCTACTCTGACACACATGAGGCCACTTCGCATCGGAGTTGACTTGACAGCAACTGATTGGTTAATTTAGAGAAGAGAGGTGGTAAGTATCATAAGGAGAGCTACTGTCAAGTGGCAAGAATGGAACTGTAACAGTCTCTAGACCCTGCCCCACTGCCTGGTTTTGATCCACAGCTCCATGTGGGATTCACACGCCTAACAAACAAATTACATCAAAAGTGCAGGGGTCGAATCGACCTTATCATAAGACAGGTGCCCAGCCATGAGTCAGGCCTCAGAGACCAGAGGGACCCAGGTCAGTCTGGGACTAATGCAGAGACCCAAGCAGAGAAATGGCACATGTCTCAAAGACTTAGAGGCCAGAGGAAACCCATTAGAGAGCCATTAACAAGAAGCCATTAACAATTGGGCTTTGAGCAGATTGGAGAGGATAGGATGTAACCAGGTCACATTTCCGGCCTCCTGATCAGCCAGAGTCTGCTTCTGACTACAGTAATTGGTTGGCACAGCCACACACAAATGGAGAAAACTGCATGGAAGGGACGTGACCCAAGTAATTGGAGGTTGGGAAGGGTGGGATGACCTACATGGGAAAAGAACTGATTATGCATCACCTCAAAGCCCCTCAGACAGTGCTCCTGAATCAATTGCCCAGTTTTGCTCAGGCCCCAGGTATAAAGAGCTTCTCATAATGCCATCCCTTCTATGTAAGAAATGGTTCTGAGACCCTGTGGGGACTATTTGTGCTGCAGTTTAACATAGTCCTTCAGGACCTGAAGTTGCTGCGGCTGTTTCAATAAAGTTGTGACACAAAGAACGGCAATTTAATGACAATTCCTTGTTCATTCTTTGTATCTTTCACAGCACTTTCCACATAAGCTAGAAAGGAAAATGAATCACACATTAGGGGAAAAAAACAAAAGCTGTATTTTAAAACCAAACAAGTGATTTGGGGCATATGTAACCAGGGACACATATCTGGGCTGTGTGTAAGGGAAGATTCCTGTGTTACAGAAAGCCAAGCCCACTTTGAAGTGAACCTAAAAATTTTTCACAAACCATAGCGTGAATTGTATCTTCTACACAAGAGAGCCAACAAGCAGTACATTTAACTTCTTGTTGTTATGTGCCGTCGAGTTGGGCGCAACTCATAGCGACCCCTCCTTGGGTTTCTGAGGCAGTATCACTACGGAAGTAGATTGTCCACCCTTCCTTCCGAACATTTAACTTGGAACCACAAATCCAAAAAGTTGAAGTTCAGAGCTGCTGAATTACAGAATGCGAGATCTAGGAGGGACCTCAGAGATCACTTAGTGCAAAGGTCTCATGGTATGAATGAAGACTCATAAAAAACTTCAGCTCGTCGACTCAGCAATTTCACTTCCGGGACTCTATCTTTGAGGAAATAATCCTAAATACGGGGAACAATAGTATACATCATTTTTTTAAAAAAAATCAGAGCAATATTTTAATTGCAAAAAATGCTTTTGGAAGTGACCAAAATATCCAACAGGAGCAAAAGGGTTAAGTAAATTCTGATATATCCACTATACTGAAGATTGGGAAGATATTAAAATGATAACCATAAAGATAACAGGGGAATGTAGATTAAATGGTTATATAAGAACTGAACGCATATTATCAACAGAACCGTAAAAACACACATCATGAAAACAGACTACAAGAGCTCCCACACAGCAAACGTGACAGTGTTTGAGAGTGGTGGGGTTATAGAGAACATTTCCGCTTTTCGTAATGTTGACTTACTAAACTGTAAAAAAAAAAATACACATTTGAAAACCCAACCGGTCCTTCTCTTAAGTACGAACAATCGGCAGGTCAGTGACCTGTCCTGGCCCAATGTTGTCAATAGGTCAAATAATGTCAATATACCAAAATAGAAAAGAAACTGTCAGAACAGTGTCTCTTTTTCTTTCCTTACTTCCTTCTTTTTGTTTTAGTGTTGGTACAGAGATACTTTTAAAAATTGATCCAGGGTCAAGTATCAATTGACTCTAGAAGCAGGAAGCACAAAAGCTAAGTAGGGGACTGGTTACTTGACCCGTGCCTTTTGACCAGGTGTGTTTTCACCAGAGAGAGGAGTGAATGAGGGTAGTGTTCTCAGAACCTGTGAGTCATATCAGCAACCCATAAACCAGTCTCCCACACTATCCCCTGAACTCTGTTGGGTCACCTGCTTAAGGTGGCTACAGTGTTTCTTCATTCCCCTTGCTGTTCTTGCTTCCCAGTGGTGGGCGGGGCTGAGGAGGAGCAGTGTTAGCTTTAAGCATCGACAAAGGCCAACCTCCCTCACCCCAGGACCTGAATAGAGCAGAGAAGCCTGCATTTCCCAAAGGGCCTCTTGAGCCTGTACCTTGACTGGTGGACAAACATGTCCTGCCTGATTCTAGGGTGTGACAAAAGGTTAAACACCACAAAGGGGCCGAAGAAAAAGAAACGAGTTTGCAGAAGAAGGTGCCAAGCAAGATTTCAAAGATTCTTCCTTGGGGGCTGGAGGGACTACATGTAAGTTGCATTTTTCCCATAGGAGGTAGTAAGACAAAGTTCATTAGTAAGCAGTACTGTATAGTGCCTTTTGCCTCCTTAAGTAACCAGAAGAGGGCTTGGTGACTCTAATCAACAAAGGAAAATAAAGAGATTAAATCTGATTGATTGAAAATATTTTTACATTTCCTGAAACCTCTAACCCAGCTCTCTTACTAACAGAATTCTGTGGACTTCATTTATCCCTCCCAACCGATCAGGGTGGTGAGAGACCAGGCTTCCTCTCTTTCAATCTGAAAAGCAGGAGGCATGGGGGCACAATGGAAAAGCTTGTGGAGAAGGAGTCAGCCAGAAGTGAGTTTGATCCTCACTCTCTCTTAAATACCTGGGTGACCTTGGCTAAGTCCTCTTCCAGGACCATTTCTGTTATCTGTAAATTGAAAGATGCTACATGCCCAGGACCCTTCTGCTGACACCCAGCCAGTAAGGCCAGGGTGGCAGCCTTGGTACCTTTCAGGCTGCAGGAGAGAATCAAATCCTGATATGCTCCCAGAGAAGCCTTGGCAATCTTTAAGCAACCCACCTTGAAACGAGTTTTGGAGACAGGCTTCTTGGGCAAAGTAATAAAACAATGCACACCGTTCATGACATATCATTGGCAGATAACAAAAACAAAAAACAAACCCAATGTTACAGAGAAGAACGGAGCTCCATAGGGATTTTTTAGCTATGATGTTTACGGAAGCAGTTCACCAGGGCTTTCATCCACAGTACTACTGGTTGCGTTCGAACTACCAACCTTTAAATTAGTAGCTGAGTGCAAAACGTTTGTGCCACCCAGGGACCCTTACCATTGGCAAACAGTACATGCCAATATTAAATATTTCAGTGACTGTACATTAAAAATCACATTCCTCTTGGTGCCTGTATTTATATTTTTTCAAACTCATGAAGAAGCAGATCTTCAAAAGTTCTTAAAACTTCTTTAAACATGACTCTCCTCTCCTTTGTAGCCTCCCCTCACTGCAGACATTCCTGACATTACGTTAAACACAATCCTCTTCAAGTTTCCTAAGGACCTTCTCCTCAACCCCTTCAGTATCTGCCAGGAAGTTCTGGGTGAAATTCAAGGCTCAGGACAGTAATGCAGTGCCCAGTGGTGAGGGAGATTCGTTTCCTCCTCCTCTCTAAGAGTATTTTACTGGCCACATGCTTCCCATATCTTTTATAAAAAGCTCTTTTAAATCATCTTTGATGTAGGCAGGGTGTCACATCTGTCAGGGAAGAAGGAACCAGGCACCTCCCAGCTTTGCTAGGTCCTTACCTTCTTGATCTGGTCCTCCTTCAGCTTGGTGAAGTAAAATGCCACCAAGTGTACCGCAAACATTTTTCCTAAGTTTTATTTCTTTGGAGATGAGCAGAGATTTCTGTGCAGTGTTTACTCCCAGGTCTCAGGCGTGCCGTTTCAGTTCAGGCTGAGAGACCTCTAGGGAGCTAGGTGCTGTGGACTAAATACATCCAGCTTGCTTGGTTCAATGATTAAACTTCGCCCCCTGTCTTTGGTCCCTCCCTCTAGAATACTCTTGATTGTCTAATAGGAAGCTCTGGATGGTAGCTGAGGGTTAGCAAGGGGAAGGCAGGGAATGGATGGTTTGCTTGTCTGTTTGAGAATCAGGTGCCACAAAATCTCGTTGCTAAGCAACTCTCAAGCCAGTGTCCCATCCACAAGCCCACTCAGCCGAGGAAAATCTTCTGAGAAGTTGGGCACTAAACAAAGCCAACTTTCAACGGCTTGAGCTGCTCTGCAAATTTCCAGCCCCTCATTTTTTTCTTTTCAGTTCTTTTCTCCTCAGCCCAGTGATATAACTATCTGATTCCCTGCCCCTGTGTATCTCTGTCTTAATTAAGACTAAATATTGTCAGGGAGATTTCTAGAATGCTGAGGGAAACTCTTCCATTTGTGACAGATCAGATCTCTTAGCTAATAGCTCACAGTGATGGAAAAGAATCAATAAAAGTTCTAATATTCACAATACTAAGCTAGAAAGGCTTTCACAGGTAGTGTCCCAGAAAAAAAATATTCGTGAGAAAGAATGAATGGTAGTTACAAGCACTAACTAGGAAGTTGCTGCTGGAGAGAATGAAAGTTACGCATGAGAAATGTTTCAGGCCATTGAGATACCTGGTTCACTCACTTACCTCCCTCATACTTGGTGATAAGAAGGACCCAGATAGGGGCTAACACGCAGGTTCAATAGACCTTGTGCTCTTCCCACAGTCATTGGCTGGTTAAAGAAATCAAAACAACACCTGCAATGTTAACAACAGCAGCTAACATGGACTGAACACTTACCGTTCCCATTTGATAAGTGAGCAAGCTGAGGCCCAGAAAGGTTGACTTACTGAAAAGCCTGTAAGTGATACAGTGAGGCATCAAATCTGGGACTTTGATTTCAGGACCTAGCTCTTAACGAATACATAATATTTCCTCTCCAACTCTTCTTCCTCCATGTCATAGGTATCCAACTGACAATGATTAGTAGCAGTAGCATCTTTTTGGAGATATTGTTAAAAATTTCAACTACTTGACAAAGTAAAAACAAAGTTACCATTTCAACAGGATCTTCATGGCGGGGGGGAGCAGCAAGGAAGACATTCCTGACTATCACTTCCTAATGCTTCTAAAATTAGCCACTGAGCAGATGCTAGCCAATGTCTGCTGAGTATCCCAACGTTTCTCATCCCTACATGGCACCTGCTGCTCAACACAAGAGGCCTCTTGGAGTAGGGGAAGTGTTGCCTGGTCACTCAATAGTCTCTGTTTGCTTTTCTACCACACAATCTCATGGATCAAATGATTATCGAATGATTGTCTGGTGAAGCAATCTTTAACATTTACCTCTTCAGAAGCCACTGATTCTCCAATCTGTGTCCTTGACCTATCTGTCATATGGATGAGTGATTGGTATTAGGTGTTTAGCTTACGCCCGTAATACACCATATTCTTTTCTCAGACTGATAGAAAACTGTCTCCCAGATTGAGAAACCTTATCCTCTTCAGTCTGTTTCTCTCTCCAACTCTGAACTCTCTTCTAGCTCTTTGTTTTGTTTATTACACAAGCAAATAAAAGCTAACCTTCGGTTCTGGAAACCTTTCAGTTCTCAAAGCCATTCAGTTCCCCAAACTATTTGGAATTGTTGGTATTCCAAACGTATGTGCTATTCCTGAGTCTAGAGTTCCTGGGTGGTGAAAACGGTTAACATTCTGACCAGTGACCAACAGGTTAGTGGTTCAAGTCCATCCAGAAGCACCTCAAAAGAAAGGGCTGGCAATCTACTTCCAAAACATTAGCCATTAAAACCCTATGGAGCATAGCTCTACTGACACACATGGGGTCACCATGAGTCAGATTCAACTCAACGGCAACTGATATTTTATTCTTGAATCTGCACTGGTGAAAGGTAACATTTTGGGGCAGGTGACCTGCCCATGAATAATGTTACTCGTCTTAATTCCCCTAAGTCATGAACTGAATTGTCTCCCCTTAAACTATGTGTCAAGGAGCTCTGGTAGCGTAGGCCTAAGGCACCTGACTGCTAACCAGAAGGTCAGCTGTTCAAACCCACCAACCACTCCTCGGAAGGACAGTTGGACAATCTATTTCCATAGTGATACTGCCTCGGAAACCCAAGGAGGGGTCGCTATGAGTCAGGTCTGACTCAATGGCACATAACAACAACAAAAAACTATGCGCCAGCTTGGCTGGCCATGATTCTCAGTGACTTGGCAGACATGCAATGATGAAATGTAGTAGTTATGTAATGATGTAATCATTCCTCATGATGTGATCAGCCCATATCTGATGTAAGGGGATTAGGCTGGGATGTACCACCCTTACTCAGGTCACAGCCCTGATCCAATGTAAGGGAAGTTTCCTTGGGGTATGGCCTACGTCACCTTTTATCTTATAAGAGATAAAAGGAGAGAGAAGTGAGCAGAAATAGAGGGGCGGGCCTCCTACCACCAAAAAAGAAGAGCCAGGAGTGAAACATGTCTTTTGGACCAAGGTTCCTAGAGTTAGGAACCCGTTACACTCAGGGGATGATTGATGCAAGGAACATGGAGATCTCCAAGGAATGTGAGGCCCACAGAGACTGAAAGGAACAAGGCCCTATCCCCAGAGCCAACAGAGAGTAAGCCTTCCCCTAGAGCTGGCACCCTTAATTCAGACTTCTAGCTTCCTAAACTGTGAGAGAATCAATTTCTGTTTAAGCCATCCACTTGTGGCATTTGCTATAGCAGCACTAGAAAGCTAAGACAACCTATTTAAAAGGACCCTCTGCATGCTGTATGGCACCTACTGTCATTGGTTTATTCACCACAGGGATAGAAAGTGGCAATGGCCAGTAACAAAAGGACACAAAACTATAAGCAGTATAACTGCAGTCTCGCAGTTGCTTGTGGGAGTCAGATAGGCAGCCCTTGGAATTTTAGTTTTAGATGACACCAGAGGAGTTGCATGTTACATCATCCCATTTTTAATCTAAGCATATCAGCAGCTGCGTTCACTCCACTCCAGGTCTGAGTTACCTGACTAAACCTAGAAGTTTAATGATTATCTAGATCACATGCATCTGCAGTCTTCTAGCTCAGCCAGTCACTTTATAGAATCAAGACAAAGTAAGTATTTATATAGCACATTTATAAAGTGTTCACTAGATGTTTTAGAATATTAATCACTCATTTGATTATACCAGTTCAGTCCTTGGAATTTCTCATCCTTATGAAGACTCTGTGAAAGTTATCTGGTGCAAATCTTTGCAAGCACTTAGAGCCTAAGAGCACCTATTTGAGGTTGACCCTGTCAAGTGATATTTTAGTTAAAGTACATTCCCCAGGTAGCCTGACACTCTTCAGAACAAGAAGGGGAACTCTCATCTCTGTTTCCACAGAGCTCTACTTTAATACCCTCAGCAAGGCCTGAAGACAATCTCTGTTTTCCTTTAAAGTACTGAGCATGGTAGGAGGACTAGAAGTTGGATAAAATTTATCTATTTATTTAGCACATTAAGAAGTAATTATTATTATTATTATTATTTTAAATTGTGATTTGGGTGAAAGTTTACAGAGCAAATTCACTTTCCATATAGCAGTTCACATACACTTTGTCTCATGACATTGACTGCAATTTCCCACAATGCAACAGCTCCCCTCCTACCTTCTCCCCATAGTTACCTCTTCCCTGTGTCCACCCTCCATGCACTCCTGACCCCTGAGCTGCCTCCCTGTGCATAAGCAGCCTTTCTGTTCTCCCATGATTGATCACTCCAAGGAGGGTATCTACCTAATATAAATGTTCAGTTCATATGTCTGTCTTTTGTTTGGCTGGAAGCCACAAGAGTGGGTTCAATTCCAGACCTGAAGGGAAGCTAGGGGCCATAGTCTCAGGGGTTCTACCAGGCTCTATCAGACCTGGTCCCTTTTTTAAAAAGTGATTTTGAGTTTTGTTCTACATTGTTCTCCCACTCTATCCAGGATCTCCTACATAGATCCCCTGTCAAGTGGTTGACAGTGGTAACCAGGCACCTTCTAGTTCTTCTGGTCTCATAGTCATATAGGCTGCGGATCACGTGGTGTACTAGTCACTTAGACTAACTGTTTCCATGCATCTTTTGTTTCCTTTATTTTTCTTTGCTCTAGGCGAAGAGATGCATCTAGATGGACACTTGCAAGCCTTTAAGATCCCAGTCACTACTCGCCAAAGTGTGATGTAGAACAATGTTTTTGTGTAGTATGTTATGCCAATTGAGCTTGATATCCCCTGTGACTATGGTCCCAAGCCCAGAGGTCCAACTATTCGCTCCCTCTGGGTTGCTGGCTGTAGCCGAGAAGTGATTACAACCTTGTCCCTTGTCAGCTCTACTATACACCTGGGACTTCTTACTGAACATACAAATATACTTGCAGAAGCATTGTCTGCCAACCCTATACATGGTTATGGGCACACTCCCCCTGGATACATACCTAATAGTTCAGCCTGTCCACCCATCTATCCACCCATAGAACAATGTTTGCCTTCACTGACAACATAGTACTGTATGTGCAAAAGGGTTCATCTTTGCTGTCTGTACCTCCCAAGCACCTCTCTCTGTCTTCCTCAATGCCACCATGTTGATCACTCACATTTGGTACATTGCCCTTCCCGTCACCCAAATCAATACTTGTCTCTACCTATCTAACAGTGTTCCCTCCCCTCCCTCCCCACCCCTGATAACCAACAGAGAAAACTTCCTTCCATATATAAACCTTTCTGTGACTTTTTACAGTAACGGACTAATACAATATTTGTCCTTCTGTGATTGACTTATGTCACTCAGTATAATGTCCTCCAAGTTCATCCATGTTATATGGTGTTTTGCAGATTCTATGTTGTTCTTCAGGATTGCATAATACTCCATTGTGTGTATGTACCATAGTTTGGTTCTCCATTCTTCTGTTGATAGGCACCTAGGT